ATCTTTTAAAAATATTTTCTGTCTCTCCTTAACTTTTTGGACACCTTAAATACAGTTATAATAACTGTTTTAACATTCTTGTATGCTAATTCTAACATCTGTTTCAGTTTAGAGTTAGTGTCAATTGATTTTCTCTTTATTACGGGTCACACTTTCCTGTCTCTCTGTATGTCTGGTAATCTTTAACTGGATGTCAGACATTGTAAATTTTACCTTGGTGGGTGTTGGATATTTCTGTATTCCTATAAACATTCTTGAGCTTTGTTCTGTTATGCAGTTAAGTAACTTGGAAACAGTCTGATCCTTTTGAGGTTTGCTTTCAAGGTTGATTAGATAGGGGTGGAGCATTGATCAATGTAGGACTAGTTACTCTCCATTTCCAGGTAAGGCCCTTTTTTGTTTCCTATGCAATGTTTCTGAATGATCCATCTGACTGTCGGGAATAGCTGATTAATACTCAACCAAAACTTGCAGGGGATCCTCTGAAGAGCTCCAGGATTCTTCAAGCAGCTATGTTTTCTCTGGCACTGTATATATATCTTGGCAACTCTAGCTGCTCCTTTCTCTCTGGATTCTCAACGTCTCCTCAACCCAGGGAAACTTCTTGGATTTCTCTGCCCTATGTCATGACCTAGAAACTAGCAATTACAGAGTTTTCCTCAATTATTTCCTAGGTCCCATAGATCACTGCCTTTTGTTTACTGTGTCTAAAGTCTTGAAAACCATTATTTCCTATATTTGGCCCATTTTTTTTTTTTTTTTTGGCTGTTTTAAGCAGGAGGGTATATTCAGTCCTTAATACCTCATTTTGGCCAGCAGTGGAATGCATCCTCTTTTTTAAAAATTCATTTAAGTAATCTCAGCACCCTCGGTGGGGCTTGAAATCATGACCCCGAGATCAAGAGTCACACACTCCACTGATTGAGCCAGCCAGGTACCCCAGAAGTGGAATGCATCTTAAATAGCCCCTCAATAATAGCCAAGTGAGTATTCTGTAACTTTTGGGAATCTCAGTAAGACCTGATAAGGACCAGGAGAGGGTAGCTCTGCTGGCCACAGAATACTGGAGGCTCATTCTTGGGTATCCTTTGGGACTTATCCTCCTTAAAACTTCCATGGTGGTCACTTCATGGAATGTCACACAAATGAAATGTGTCCACGAAGAAAACGCATGCACATCTGCTCCCAGGACTTCCTGCCTTTTCTTTATTCTGGGGCCTCTCCTCTAGTAATAATGTTTAGGGTGTATGCCTTGCTTCTCCCTCTCAGTCTCCAGAGGACACCCACTGATCTATCCACATCCTCACAAGCTTGGATCTGAGACCATAGATGGTCATACTCAGTGCCAGTGGTGATTACTATTAAGTCAGAACAATGTTCATAAGGCCTGAGCACATCATCATGAGGATTATCTCACAAGATCTGGGATGGATCAGACTATAATAAGGTCTGCTGTGTCCCCTAGTTGAATTTTAGAAGTGCCTGTCTTTCTCACAGTCACACGTGGCTCTGCCACATGGGAGCCACCAGCCCACCCTTCAGTCTAGAGCTCTCCTCTCCAGAGTTGCATTTTGGGGAAATCAGGTAAGAGGCAACTATACATACTGCTTTGGGGCAGAGCACAGGCCAGCAGTTCCTCCCTAAGTCTCCATCTCAGGTTATCCTGCTGGGTCTCTGCTAACCAAGACATAATGATCACCCTCATAGTTTAATGTTAGTAGCCAGCTAGACAAGGAGGGGCAGCCAACCTGGCCTCAGACAAAAGCCATACTCACTAGTTGTGATCAGGAGCTGACAGAAGTAAAACACATTTTCTTTCTAAGAAGACATTACTATGTGTCCAATTTATCAAACCAATGGACCTGACAAGTGTGGATGTGAGATGTCCATTTTTCCTTTTATATGAGAAATCTGATTTCTCTTTTAGAAACATCTTTTTCATTCATTCATTCATTCATTCATTCATTTTTTTTTTTTTTTTTTTTTTTTTTTTTTTTTTTTTTTTTTTTTTTTTTTTTTTTTTTTTTTTTTTGCTTTATAGGCAATTTTTTTCTTTATGTATATTACCCAAGGGCCCAGGGCAGTTCCCTCTTGTGTAGGGGAAGAAAACTGGCCTTTGAACTTAAGCCCCCTTATGCTCTGACCAGGCCAGCCAGGTGTATATGGCAGGAAGAGTCAAGAAGGAAGGAAAACAGACCTCAAGTTTCTGTTTCCCTGACAGCACAGAGCACTCAAGCACTGTCCTTCGTCCCCATGGCTTCATCAGGAGGCTCAGAGAAGCAGAGAAGCGAGGTCAGGTGCAGAGAAGGCCAGGTACAGCTGTGACGTCAGTGCAGAGGGCCGAGCAGGCACCCAGACAAGCCAGCATGGGCCCCTGCCCAGGAGAACACTGGAGGAACCATGGAAGGCTATTGCCTCCCTACCCTTCTACCTTTCGTCCCTCCTGCTCCTTTCCAGGCCAGAACCGTCTTCCCAGGACAGAGAAGAGGGCAGAATAAACACATAGAAGCCAATTCTAGTGCCAGAAAAGGAAGAGTAGACTGAGCTAGGCATCTGCTAACGAGTGTCTGCTTGGGCCATGATGGGGAGCATGCACGCAGGGCACACAGCCTGTGTTCATCAGCAGACCTGTTGGAGGGGGTTCTCTGAAGGGGTGACAGGGCCACACAGAGAAGCCAGGAAGCACAGAAGCATTCAGTTTGTGACGGTCTAAAAATCAACAAAGCAGGGAGAGGAATCCTTTGAAAACTTAAGTTACTTTATGTTACTCTTTCCCTCCAGAGCCTCCAGTGGCTCTCCGGCTTGCTACCAGTAAACCCAATGTCCTTAGGGTAGCCTGTAAGAACTGGCCTCCTGTTGCCCTCTGACCTCTGCTCCTGCTCCCTCCCCCTGCTAGCACTTTAGATGTTTCCCTCACAAGTTATGCAGTTGCTTGACTCTCCAAACAGAAGGTAAGTTCCACGAGGGCAGGGCGTTAAGGGAGATTTTTGTGTGTGTGTGCTTGAGAACTGATTTATCTCCCTTGCCTAGACCAGCGCCTGGCCTGTGGTAGGTGCTCAAAAAGTACTTGCTAAATGAGCAGACCAACTAAAACAGAGCCCCTTTCACCTGTCACAGAGCATGTAGAGACCCAGTCAGTCCCACAGAGGGATTCTGAACTCTGGTTAGGCATTGGGCTCTCTAGGCCTGACTGGAGTTGTAAGTCCTGTGGCCAGTGGGAGATTCTTTTTTTTAACTGCAGTAAGAACACTTAACGGGGGATCCACCTTCTTAACGTATTTTTAATGGTCATAACTTCCTTGTTTATACTCGTGTAATTCTACGGGCCTGTGTCCTCTAGGTACATAACTGGGGCACAGAGAAACAAAAACTTGCAGATTTGACTTGATAGAAACAGCACTGGTAATATTAAGAAACCCAACCAAGTGATCAGATATCACAGAGAAAAGGAGACGCATTTTGTCACTTGGATTTCCTGAAGCTTTCAGCATTTCCTCAACTGCCCTCCCTTTCTCCCTCTGTGAAAGGGAGCTGGTCTCCTCAGCAGTCCCCGCAAGGCTCCGGCCAGGTCCCCAAGGGACATGGGAGGGGACCACGGCCTTGAAGCCTTTATGCCAGGTCTGAAGAGTGAGAGACAACTCCTCAGGCACTCGCAGGCCCTCGTGCACGCGCACACACACGCCCTCGCACACGGCCATGAGACTGGTGGGGAGGAAGGGCTAGAAGTCTTTCACGACATGCATCTGTGGAGGCGGACGGCTCCTGAACACCCGGCCGAGGTGGAGACAGTGGAGATAGGCAGTGCGAGAGAATGAGCGGACTAGAGGTCCAGGTGAGGTCAGAGGCAGAAGAGAAAGATGACAGGACGTGATCAACAGAGGAGCCCTGCACCCAGCATGTTTCAGGAGACACAGGACACGGGAGAGAGAAACGTGTAAGGGGCTTGGCATGCACAGGCCCCACCTGGCAAAAGGAGGCCCCCTGCCCAGACTGACCTAGAACTTACCGGCTCATGGCAGGTCCCCCCCCCCCCCGCCGTGCCACGGGCACCTGCCCAGCGTGCACGTGAGTGTGTGGCCAGGGATGGCCAGTAAACTAGCCGCTTGGGAAGCACAGACAGCGCGATGTCACCGCCTAGGGTGACATATTTAGGCACCACAAGAAGAAAGTTCATAGACTTAAAATTGTTTCTTCAAGGTCTGTAAGGAATCTTGGGAATCTGATCTAACCTGCTGACTCTAAAGAAGAGGATTAGCTCCAAAGAGCGGGGCCTCTGCTGTTTCTGTGCCCAGTGGCTGGAGAGAGGGCAGGTGAGGGGGAAGGGGTGGGGGACCCCCAATCCCCTCTCCTTCATGCAGGTGGCTAATTTCACTGCTGCTGCAAGGACACTGGTGCACAGGAGGCTGCTGTGTGGGTACTAGGGCAAAGGTCAGGGGCCTCCGGGCTTCCTCCCCTAGGGCCTGGTCACACTGGGGGTCTGTGCCATGCTGAAGCGCATTAAAAAGGATGAGAGGAAAGAGATGGGGTGAGAAAAAAGGGAGGGAGAGAAACAGAGAGACTAGACTCAAAGGAAAGAAGCTCACTTAGCCTCATAGGACTTCTAAAACACCTGCCAGCTTCACCACATCAGATCTTGGGCCAGAATCTCCATGCCCTTTGCTTCTCTACCACTGACTGTTTTACAGATGGGGACACAGGCCCCAAGAGGTGGGGCCACTGGTGGCACAGAACCATGGAGAGCCTCTGCAACATGCAGCGGTGACTCCAGCTCTTCCCTGGACTGCAGCAGGAGCCTGGAGCCTAGGAGAGCATCCGGGAGCCCCTCTGCACAGGAGTGCTCCCGTCTCTCTTGCTTGCCTCTGCTCTCAGCACCACCAGGGAGGGAGTTCGAGGAGACCAAACCTCCCACCAAAGGGAAAGATGGTTTCACGAAGTGTCCTGTGCTGGTGCCTGGAAGGTGGCGCCCAGCGCAGCCCCACCTCCTTCCAGGAGACACTCACCATTCATCTGGGAGGGTGACGAAGAGTAGTCCCGGTCCCTGTGTCTCCGGTCGGGTTTCAGATTGCGGCTCTGTCTGCCCGAGCCCTCCAGCATGTTCACGATCTCACTCCGGTCAATGTTGCGCAGGGCTGCATACAGATTATCCACTGCAGGGGGAGAAGGGAAGAAGGGGTGCTGGCCAAGGGGGCTCCAATCCTCATAGACAGTGTGGGAATGTTGTGGGGTGTAGAGAAGGGAGGGAAGTGGGGGATGATTTGTTTTCTCAGCACCCCTCCTTTGTCAGAATCAAAACTACCTGCCTCTGGGGGGGGGGTGGGAGGGAAGCTTTTGTTATCCTTTGACAGATCTTTTCCAAACCCTAAGGGTGGTCAACTGCAAAGCATGGGAAGACTGTTTTTTTGTAATCTGAGAGGAATTCTGCAAGAAATGAGAGTGAGGAGAAGAGGATACTGTCCTTTTGAGATCCTTGGTCCTCGCCAGTTGATTTGAGATCCAAATGCAGACACCCAATTTCCTCTTAGTGTTTCTGAGTATGGGAATTTAGTTGAGAAAGGGCTGAAAACAGGGTGACGGGTCTTCCCTCCAGGTTGGAGGAAAAGATGTTCCTGCATCAGGCAGGATTTGCTCCGTTCTGAGAGGACAGTCCTCATTTGTTTGAGAAACTCAGTGAGAAGTCACACACCCTACACCTGTGCTGTCATCTCGTTCTGGTGTGGCTCTTGTCTTATTCAGGGGATGGGAAAAAGGCCAAGGCCAAGACCATCCTATCCTCTTATGATAGGACTCCCCGAGGACCCCAGGACCCTGACAGGTGTGTGTGTGAGGGGCAGAGAGACAGAGACAGCAAAAGGGATTGGCTGCAAGGCAAAGACAGCAACTGGAGCTGGAAGGCAGAAAGGCTCCGGTGACGGGGAGGTCCTGCATGGGCTTTGGACAGAGGACGCTTCCTTAGCTTAACGGTACTGACTCTTTGCGTTTTTGCCTTCGCGGGTGACCCAGAGATTCAACAAGGCTGCACTCTGCTCCAGCAAGGAGTTGGGGTTTTCCACACGGATCCTGTTGATGTCTTCCACGCTGAACTGAAGCTCCCGAGCCAGCTCTGCAGGCAGAGAAGCAAGACTGGGTGTGAGCCCGCCTCCGATCCCCCCAGCAGGTGCTGTGCCTTGCATCTGGCAGGGAGTACCGGGAATCAAGGAACAGTGTCCCCTGGGTTTTGGTATTCCTTCTTACCAGGAAGCAACTAGGGGAACACAGACACCTACATCTTCCGACATCCAGAAAATAGGGCAGGGATAGGAATGCTCAAAAAATTGGTATTGAATGAACGAATGAAGGAATATCTTTCCTTTCTTTCGTCAATTCACATATTATTAGATGACAAGGCTGAGCCTCTCAGCAAGGTTAACGCTTATGCAAGGTCATGGCACAAGCTAAGGCCAGAGCCAGGAGCAGGCTGAGCCTGCGGACGCCCACTCCAGTGCTGTCTGTGCCACTAACTTTCCACCAGGAAGCAGTTATCACGGGAATGCTTTTCTGTATTTACGTTTCTTCAGGGAAAGGCACTAATTACATTTAAAATGAAAATATAAGCTCCCATCTAAATGCAAGGCAATAACACAGAATGTTAGCTTTCTCCCTCCCGTTATTATTATTTTTTTAATGTTTATTTCTGAGACAGAGCATGAATGGGGGAGGGGCATGAGAGAGGGAGACACAGAATCCGAAGCAGGCTCCAGGCTCAGAACTGTCAGCACAGAGCCTGACACAAGGCTCAAACCCATGGACCATGAGGTCATGACCTGAGCTGAAGTCGGACGCTCAACCGACTGAGTCACCCAGGTGCCCCACCCTCTCATGATTTTTATTGTTATTTCTCACAGGTGCTTTGGAAGGGAGAACAGCCTCAGAGTCTAATTTCAAGGATGAGGAAGACCAGAGGGGACAGTGATGGTAAGGATCAGAATGCACAGGTACACACACACACACACACACACACACACACACCAAGAAGCAGCAGTAGGCATTTTTTTTTGGCTTAAGAACGAACAGCTCCTGAATTTCTGTTGTAAATTTTTGTCACAGAGCCTTTCAGCAAGCCTTATTGCTAAGGCTTCTGAGTTTCTCTGAAGTCCTCTCCACAGGGTGACTGAGTAAAGGCAGTCCATTCATATAAAAGCTAACATAACAAGGCCGGGGGGTGGTTAAGTTATAGGTCCTGTGACTGAATAAAACGCATTTTGAGCTTTCACTTGTATTTTCCCACACACAGTGTCACTTCAGATGTGATCTACCCTTTTGTTGTGGGACTTCTGGTAGACCTCAGGTACAGCCAGAGATTACAAGTGAACAATTTTGAGCCATCTCCTTTTCTTCCTTCTTTTCCTTCAACAGCCTTTCCTTCCTTTCCTTCCTTTCCTTCCTCAGCCTTTGAGAAAGGGCAACGTGAGTACAGGGAGGAAGAGAAAGGCAGTCATAGAGACATAGTTTTTTGTTTCTGTGCTTATTTGTTGGCTGGTTTTCCAGGGTTCTGTCACTAATTAGAGCCACTCTATTCAGCTGGATCTCAATTTTCCCATCTGTAAAATGAGGTGAACCAGATCAATTCTAAGGTCTCTCGTAATTTCAAAAGTTAATTCTTTCTTATAAAGTAAACCCAGGCAGAAAAAAAAAGAAAAACCGGGCAGGAATGGAGGAGGGTGGGAGCTTACTTTCCATGGGTATACCCAAAGGCACTGCTTGGGCAACAGACTTGCACAAGACAATCACACATCAGATGCACCGAGGACAGTAGGAAGAGGTAGAGGCAAGAAGCTGGAGGGGTACGTGTAGACTGGCAAGGTGACTTTTGCCCCCAAGTCCCCAACTTACCCGCCCAGCTGAGGCCAAGGTGCTCTGATATAATAGCCATCTTCATATCTGCTCGGTCGGTCCCACTGAGAAAACCTAGGGAGAAGCATCGGGTTTCATTTAGCAGCCTTGGCAGGACACAGAATGGGCAGGTGTGGGTAAATGACCTCAGATGGATGTTCTGGCCCCCGGCGGACCTCTGTATGCTGGCCTGCAAGCATTCCGTGGGGACCGGGGCCAAAGGCTCCGCATGCTGTGCTCATAACAAGCTAAGGAAATCACATCAACGCAGAGCTCTTGCAGGAGTGAGGGGGAGTGATGTGACCCACAACCTCCTGGGAAGGCAGTGAGCACATATCACAAAGGGGTTCATACCCAGTGACGATTCGCTGAGAATGCTGTATCTCAGGGCCAGGGGAGTCAACGTCCTCTTCCTGTCATCAGCTCCACTCCCCTGCAGAAGAAAGATGAGGAAAGGGTGCTTTGGGCTTGGGGTTACCCCCTTGGTGGGAAGGTGCTCGGAGCCCGGGGGCTATGGGGTGGGCATGACGCCAATCCCGGCCAACAGTAAGTAGGTCTGTGTCTCTGGAGCCGCAACACAAAGAGCAGATGTGTGCGAAGAGGTGGGGGTTCAGAGGGAGTGATGAGAGTCACACACTTTATCACTAATAGTAATGGCAAGCTCACGTGGCCTTTACCACATGACAGGCCCTGTTTGATGCACACAACAGCCCCTGGGCAGGTACAATTACTATTCCCATCTCATTCATGAGGACACTGAGGCCTAGAGGGGTTAAGTAACTTGCCCAAGGCAGCTCAGCTAATGAGTGGTGGAGCTGGGGTTTGAACTTAAAAACCAGTGTTTCTTTCTGGGTTCCTTTATACTCAAAAGACCTATTTTTGGCACCAGTCCGAGGCTTAGCACTCCAGCCCTACAGAGAAGCACCCAGATGCTAGCTCTGGGTGCAGGAAATCCTCTTTTGAAAGAGAAGTGCACTCATACTCTCCCCAGACAGTAAAGAGAAATCGAGCCACGACATATGGATGTAACCTTGCTTTCTCCCTAGTTGGGCACGGAAGGCTGACAATTACAATGATGGCAGCAGCCAAACGACACCAACAAGAACATGGAGACATATGATCCCTCCAAAGTCCCTTGCGCAGTGGTGACTCGGATGCTCTTACAGGTATGGATAAATCAACATACTTGGTCAAGACGCTTTTGCTGAGCTCAAAAATCTGGGTGTTTGCAGTGGCTGAGACACCAGGGCTCCCTTCTCTGAGGGCCTGGCACCCTGGGGAAGATAAGCAAGTATATGAAAAGGAGGCCTGAAAAAGCCTATCAAACAGCTGGGTCACCTTGAGCAATGTGACACCCAGTTCTAAGCCTCAGAGAGCTCAGACGAGGGGTGCTCAGGTAGACATCTTTTGGGCTCCTTCTAGCCTTCAAGAAGGAACATCCTAGAGGGCTCAAGGCCCACAGTAAGAACATGCAGACCACTGTCTGACACTGGCATCTGGTCCTAGCTTTGCAGAAAGGGCCAGGGCACACTCTCCCTGCCAGGCCACCGTCAACTGTCCAGAAGACGGCAAAGAGCCTTCAAAGGCTGCTTTGTGATGGTAAGAGGTCCTTGGGAAGCACGCGACCTTGCGTCTGTTTCGGGACCTCCTCAGGGAACCCCATCTCTGGCGAGGGTCCTCATCGGAGGGCAGCTCACCTTGGTACAGGGGGGCATGGTGATGTTCAGGTGACAGAGAATGTGCTGGGTGTCCTCATACTTCATCGCCTTGCGCAGAAATGACAAGGACCCTGCTGGTTCTCGACTGCTGTCCCTCACCTAAATTCAATCACACAAAAGCAAGATTCGGGGGGGTGCTGTTCCAGAGGCCACCAGGCTGGTTGGCTTAGAGACTTCTGCCTCCCAGAACCTTGTAGACCCAGAGGAGAGATTGGCACCTTTACAGGTATGGCCAAACGGTTCTCCCGAAACGACTGGAAGAGGAAACTCCGTTGCTGGGCAGCTTTTTTGACGGGCACCAGGTTCCCAAAGAGTTCCGCGAAAAGGGGCATTCCTTCCAAAACCTGTAGGAGAAAAGCAAATGTCATGTCCTGCCTTCAGCTTTGGTCATCTCTTTGCCAGATCATACTCATTCTACAGCATGAGAAACAACCCGCCATTTGTTTTGAAAAAGGTTTTGTTCCCAAGGCTGAAATGAGGGAGGCATGCTTCCTTACATCAGAGGAATTTTTTTAAATGTTTATTTATTTTTGAGAGAGAGAGAGAGAGAGAGAGAGAGAGGCAGAGCATGAGCGGGGGAGGGGCAGAGAGACACAGAATCCGAAGCAGGGTCCAGGCTCTGAGCTGTCAGCACAGAGCCCGACGTGGGGATCGAACTCATGGACTGCGAGATCATGACCTGACCCAAAGTTGGACACTCAACCAACTGAGCCACCCAGGTGCCCCCTTACTTCAGAGGATTTTACAACAAGCAGGAATCTTTACCTATCCCTGGGTGGCTGATCAGGGTTGCTATCAGAGTACTCTAGAACTCCACTGAAGTATCAAAATATGGCTTCCCCCCAAAAGCTGAATCTCTTTTCACACTTGTTCTGCAACGTTTAGTTTATGAGAAGTGTTGGAAGGACCATGTTATAGCATAATCTCACCCATTATTATAAGAATCCCTATTGTGTATATAATGCTTTCGACTGAGAAGTTATCATGACCCCATTTGATAGGTAAGGAAATTGAGGCCCAAAGAGAGTAAGTCCTTTGTCTAGTTTGTCCTTGAATCAGGATTAGGGGTAGGGCTCCATAGTTCCGGCCTTGTGCTTTTCCTTCTGGGCCCTCAGCCCCCCAAGAAGGCTCAGAACAAACTCCAAGGCCAGACTTTTGGAAAGGTCCTGGCTTCTTACTTGTCTTAACATGATGAGTCTCCTAGGGTCAGTAATAGGTTCAAATCTAGTCCCTGTTCCTCACCTCATTTGTCCAGCCGCCCTCCCTGCCGCATCGGGGCGTTCCCAGAACCCTGGCATAGTGGGTAAAACTGTGGGCTCTGGTGTCAGACTACTTGGACAAATCTTTTCTCTACCCTCTACTTAGTCATGTGACCTTGGGCAGACTACTTAACCTCTCTCAGCCTCAGTGCCCACATCTGTAAACTGGGGATGATAAAAGCACACGCGGGTATGAGGATCAAGGGAGATGATGCTAGTCAAGCACTTTCACACTACATCCAGCCACGGTACCTCTATGTCCCTGCTCCGAGCCACCTCAATGAAGTTCTCATGCTGCTCCAGGGTCTTGTCCACTTTATCGTCTGTCATGCAGTAGCAGCGCAGACGCCCTTCCCGGGGGTCATTCATCTTGGCAAAAATGACGAACTTGGCCATGTAGGGCACCGCAGTGAGCTCCTTGTACAGCAGGGTGGCGAAGTTCACAGCTTCAGCAGTGCGAGGACAGTCTGACAGCCAAAACCTAAAAAGAGAGGGCTGATTATAAGCACGTTTCTATGGGCCAGATGGAGCGCTTCACGTCTGTGCAAACAGAAGGAGCCCATAAGCCATGGGGATGGCTGCTCTAGAAAGCCTGGTGGTCAGGGTGGGGGCTTCTGTGTGGAAAGGGGAAACGGGGGGCCCTAAGCACGGGGTGGGCAGGTCAAGGCCTGGGGATAAGCCATGATCAGGGCAGCGCTGACCACTCGGTGCAGGGCCCGGGGTTTCTGGGCTCACCTGGCAGAGACGTTGGTGGTGAAGGCGGCACACTCGTTGGCATACACGAGCTTGGTCGTCCCCGTTATGTCTTCCCACTGGGCTTGGTCTGTTCCTCCTGCAACAGGAACACAGGTGGGCTGGGGGACAGTGTTCAGGTGGCACACACACGGCTTGCCGAGCTGCCAAGGGCTGAGCATGAAAGGGCAGAGATGGGCACATCTGTGTGGCCCTGAGCACATCTCTTCTCTCACGCCCTCCCCCTCCTCGAGCTATTCCATGGAGGCTCTAGTCAGACGGACTGCCCCTCCCTCCCTTCAAAGAGCACATCGCCTAGGGAAGCCGAAGCAAGGTGATGGCCGGCTTCCCCTTCTGTCTCTCCTTCATGTGGCCAGAAGGAGCTGCTGCTGCCCAGAAGATGGGACAGGGGCACCTCTCACCAGTGACACTGCAGAGTAGGCGCAGACTGGTGGTGTCCCCCTCCCCGCTGTCCCTCGGGTTGTCCGTCCAGGAAGGAGGGAGTGGGATCCGAAGGCCAATGGGGCGATAGAACTTCCGGCGGCGTGGCTCCACAGTGACGATGGGGCTGAACGTGGCCTGGTTGCCCAGGAGTTTGGTGACAAGCTCATCTGGTACAGGCTGGGCCTGCAAGGTAGCAAAGGTAGGCACTGAGCCTCCAGCAGCAGGGGGGACTTGTTCATGAGGGCCAGCACATCCCCAGAGGGAGAGCAGGCTGTTTATACAGAGGGCAAAGGCTCCCAGGGGGTGCAGCGGTCCTTCCGCTGTTGCACCACACAGATCTGTTTTGCTGGGCATGGAGCCCATCCTGGGGCTGATATCACTGCTCAGCTCTCTTTCCGGAGCCCTTTCTCCCCCTCTCCTGCTGCTCCCATTCCGTGGATGGCACCACCCTTGCTCACCATTAGTTACCTCTCCAGGATGCCCCATGGAATTCTCTCACGTCAAGCATGCGAGCATGCTGGCATCGTGGTTTAATGCGTAATCTGGGGCTTTCTGCAACTTACCAGGGAGCGCCTGCCCTACCCCACTCACCCGACTTCTGAGCTTTAAGGTCACATCTCTAACTGGGATTTTAAGGCATTGGACAAAAGTGGGGGATGTGCTGGGGAAGTCTTCCTGGGGGCCTTGAATTCCTCCCACCTTCCATAAACTCTGAGTTGGACGGCAGGGTGGGGGGCAACTGGTAAGGAGGGAGGGCTGTGTCACCTGCAGAGCCAGCTTCACTCTCTTGGTGACAGCGTTTTCTGGGAACGTTGCCTGCACCAGGGGGACCAGCTTGCTCTTCAGAAAGCCCCCTTCAGGGCCGATGGTGTCGTAGTCCTGGCAGAGCCGTGACATGATCACGAAGTACAAGGGGAAGTCGGTGGTGATGATGCGGCAGACCCTCTTCTTCTCCAGCTCCTCCAGACTCCCCAGCTCTGTAATCACATGGCACGATGCCACCCGCCCCGGTCATGCCGTCGTGCCAGATGCAGGCTCAACCACTGTGTCCCCAGAACCTTCTCATCCCTGGCTCCCGATGTTTGTCCCCTCCCCAGGCACCTAGCAGCACCCCTCAGGTGCCCCAGGCACCTGGGACTGGACCTGATGGGGCCATCCCCGGTCTCTCTGGCCTTCCCAAACTCCAGGTGGTCCTAACAACCCACCCCAAAATTGCCAGCTCAAGTCCCACCTTCCAGAAGGAGGGCACCCTGCTCTGGGATCCCTGGGGCTCAGTTACCTTCGTCCATCCCGTTGAGGATCTGATCCAGGTAGCTTTCTCCATAGCGGCTCTTGTGTTCCTTCCACACGGAGCCGTTTTCACTGCGCAGCACCACGAGTTCACGGTCCCCACGGCCTTGGGAGGCAAAGTGGGGGATCTCCACGATCACAGGGCTGAGGGGACAGAGCAGATGGTGGGCAAGGTGTGTAGATGTGGGTGTGGGTGCCTGTGGGCAGGTGGCTGTGCACAGGAAGGAAAGAACAGGGAAAGGGGGGGCAGTCGGTCCCTGCTTGGAGAAAGATGGGATCCTGCAGCCAGAGCGAGGCCCCACCTTGGGGCAGGTCCGGATGGGGAACAGACCCTCCTTGAGTTCCTGAGACGCTCCGAGCGTCCCTCACTCACTGCCAGGCCCCGGAGGAACAGTAAGCACAGTACCCAATCTCACCTCACAGGGGGATCTCCTGCCATGGCCATGTAGTGGACGCTCAGCTGAGTAACCCAGCCCTTGGACCTGATCCCGAGAACCCGCCAGCCATTCCTAGATATCCCTAGGCAGGGGACCAAGCCTTAGCTTTCTCCTCTATCCAATGGTGATAAAGCCACTTCCTTCAGAGGGAGGCTTTGATGACTACATTTAAAAAGGAAAATCGGGGCGCCTGGGTGGCTCAGTCGGTTGAGCGTCCGACTTCAGCTCAGGTCATGATCTTGCGGTTCGTGAGTTCAAGCCCCACATTGGGCTCTGTGCTGACAGCTCAGAGCCTGGAGCCTGCTTCGGATTCTGTCTTCCTCTCTCTCTGCCCCTCCCCCACTCATGCTCCATCTCTCTCTGTCTCTCAAAAATGAATAAATGTTAAAAAATTAAAAAAAAAAAAAAAAAGGAAAAGCAACACAAAAGCACTCTGCAGGCTGCTTTCCAGGGGTGGATGGAAGCTCAGAGGTGGGGACAGGCAGGGGACAAAGGCAAGAAGGCCGGGCCTCCCTGGACACACCTGTCCCAACAAAGCTCAGGTAGAACCCCACTCTGCTTCACTCTCAAGCCCACTAATCTTGTCCTTGGGGGCAATGCTGTAGGGCTGTCTTTTAGAAATACCATCTTAAAGCTTAAATAATTCAGCCCTTGAAGGCCCCAAGGTAGCCAGCCCAGTCTTTTCAGTCCCCTTCTCTAGTATCATACAAGATTTGAGAGGAGTAAGCTCCACCCTGGGGCTGTGGACTCCTCAGTGTATCTGGGAGACAGGGACTAAAAGTTCCTGGTTCTGTTACTCTGTCAGGACAGCAGACAAACAAGATTGCATGGGGCTCTGGGACTTGGCATTTCCTCTTCCCTGTGGCTGGAGTGGTTCTGGGTAGTTGATGCTGAGGTGGCAGCGACGGACCAGCAGGGGCAGGGGCAGAGGCAGGGGCAGGGGCAGGGGCAGGTTAAGGACATGTGTCGCATCCCATGTGAGTGACTTCTCACCTTAAGAACTGGGCCCCGGCGGGTCCCAGCGCGATGATCCTGCTGGCAAGGCCCTCCTCCTCGGCCAGTGGGGGCGGCGTGCTCAGCTTCTGGGGCTTGACCAGGCGGCAGGTGATACGAGTAGGGGCGGCACATGTCCGGGGCGGGATCACCACCCTCAGGCCATTGTGACGGCTCCCCCTCATGGAGCCTCCCCGGGCATCCACCATGAAGCTCACCAAAAACCTAAGGCACAGGCAGATCCATGTTGGGCTTCTATATGCCTTCTCTGAGACAGGGAGAGTGAGACTCACGCCCATAACCCGTGAGTCACGGGGTCACTCACCCTGTGTGGACAGGGCTGGCCACCGGGCTGATGTTGTCTGAGGTCTCTGTGGCCGGGCTGCTGGGGATGAGTGAGTCTTCATCATACTCCTTAGACGCCTGAGGAGGAGAGAAAGGCCAATTGTCCCAGCACTTCCTGGGCCACAGGAGCTAGTCTTGGCCAGGTTGGTGTCGTTCTGGGCTGGGGAGGCTCAGGAGCATCTCGTTGCCAGAAAGCAAGCAACCCAAATCCTGCACACTCACTACTGACCCTTTCTGGACAAGGCTTTTCTGGAGTCTAAAAGGAGGCATAGACTTCTTCCTACCATCATGGCTGCTCCTTGGCTCCTTTTAGGTCCAACATCCACCGCACAAACTGCAGACCTACCCGCTCTTTCCTCCAGCCCCTCTCCAGTGTGAAACCTCTGCTCTAGGGAGTTCAGTTTTCACAGACTTGGTACTGGAACCCTACACCATCACCTACTAGCTGCTTAGCTCTGGGCCAGCGACTCGTCCTGCGGGTATCTGAGGTACAGGAGGTGAACGGGGCACACCCTAACCTTGGGGGACTTCCTTCCTCATCTGCAAAAGGGATGGTCCTTGCCCCTCAGTGACACTATAGCTGCGGAGCCATGGGGCTGCCTCCCATGGGGCGTTGCATATCACAAGCACCCATGAAAGCCAGCAGGGTCTGAATCTGGGTTTACTCCCAAGTCCCCTCTTGCTCCCATGGGTCCTGACACCCCTGTCCTTCTCCTTCACTGGCCTGCTCCACCCACCGTCACACCTTGCCTCCTACATGAAGCTTTCCCACTACTCTAATCCAGAAGGCTTCACACAGCATGATCTGGCATGGGGGACATTGATTCTTTCTGCAATCTGTGAGAACTGGCTTCACATATCTGAGCCCACCCTTCCCAGCTGGTCCGTCTGCTCTTAGGGGTCAGGCTTGGGTCTCACAGTCCTCCTACAGGGCTCATAGTAAGAACCCAGGAATGCCCACTGTCTTGAGTGCATGACTTAAGCAAGGAGCTGAAGAGAATGGGTTGGTCAAGGAACAACAGGACACAGGTTGACATGGTGACTTTCTCATTGTTGTTGGCAGCATCCAGGGAATATGCCACATCTGTACCAGGACCATATTTCACCATATCTCCCAAAGGCCTCCCAGTGAGTGACTCCAGTATCACAGCACTAGCATGGATGGCTGATTGGACAACTTCACAGCTGGCTTGTCCCTGCATGCCACCCTTGGGGTCCAGGGCTATGGCTGCTGCTTTCAGACATCTAGCCCTTTGGTGGCAGAGGAAAAGACCAGCCTTAGCTGGAAAACAGGCCAGGCCCAGTTCAGTTATCAGGCCTCAGGGCAATCATTTCCAATCTCCAAACATCACACTGCTTTTTATCCTAGAAAATCTCCTTCCCTTGGTGGTGGTAGTGGTGGGGGGGGGGGGGGGGGTGCCAGATAGCACAAAATTAAATTAAGGAGAATTAACTTGTTTGAAACCATCCCACCGTTTTTTGGGACAAATTCAGATGGCACCCAGGGAAGCCACAAAATAAGGGACTATGATGAGCAAGAGTGCCGCCTGGGAACAGCTCTCTCTGACATCCCTTTCTGTGTTGGTATTTTAACTTCTCGATAATCCCTGGAGGAAGGGGAGGCAGAAACTGTCCCCCTCTCTAATGGATGTGAAATAAAGGAGTTCGGTGACTGGGCCCGCAGCTCAACCTCAGCTCCCTCTCCAGCACTGTGACCCACTGTCCCGGGCACGCAGAGAGCCTGTGCACAGGGAGTGTGGCCATGAGGACACGGGCTTTGGGGCCAGAATTTCTGGCGTTAGTTCTCAGCCTCATTTGTGACTGGACAGACTAGCATAATGGTATTTCACACACCCTTGGGCTCTCTGAGACTTGTATCATTAATATCTGGGATAATAAGAACTCTGGCAGCACAGGGGACTGCAAAGTACACGTGGAAGCCTGGATTGAAGGGCTTGGTAAATGCTGCAGGCATTTAATTCTTAGTTCCTATCATACCGTGGATCATTTCAAAACCATCGTTGTCCCAGGGGTACCCACTCTCTGCAGATGGGAACAGAAAAACAAAAGGTGCTTCTTACCTGTTCTGGCTCCTCAGATCTAATCACCACTGTCTCAGGTGTGACACATGGGATCCTCGGGATGGCTGGAGATTCCACCCTAGACACCCAGAACATGGGGAAATCAGAGGGATGATTCTTCTAAATAGCCCCTGGCTGCCATGGGAGGCCTAATGAAACACCTCCGTACCCCCATAATAACCTAACCTACCTGCCCCCCTTGCCACAACCCGACATGCACATCACACAAGCAATACAATTCAGCGTCACACACTGACCAGCCTCTTCCCCTCACCTCAAAGCCTTTCCTCGGGCCCAGCTGTCCTTCACAAGCCAGATGAAGGGGCTGCCTCCCACATGAAGCCTTCCCTCACACTTACCACCCGCTTCTCAGCCTCGGAGCCCTTGTTGATAGGATCCTCGCTCTGGCCTTAACATCTTATCCTGCACTGCTCTGTGACCTCTTGGTGTGTGTGTGTGTGTGTGTGTGTGTGTGTGTGTGTGTGTGTGCGCGCGCGCGCGCGTGTGTGTGTGTGTGTGTGTGTGTGTATTTTAATTGTTTTAAATGTTTATGTATCTTTGAGACAGGAGACAGAGAGAGACATAGAGAGTATGGGGGGGGGGGGCAGAGAGAGAGAGAGAGAGAGAGAGGGAGACATAGAATCTGAAACAGGCTCCAGGCTCTGAGTTGTCAGCACAGAGCCCTACACGGGGCTCAAACTCAGGAACGATGAGATCATGACCTGAGCCAAAGTTGGATGCTAACTGACTGAGCCACCCAGGCACCCCCTGGAGTATGTTTTGATCCCACCAAATAAATTGGTAGGTTCTTTATGAGGGGCCAAGTCTTATACTTCTTTCTAACTGCTATGCAGTAAATAGTAATGATATTGAGTTTGGAGATTCATATCTTATACAGTGAATATTCACTGGTGAAATATCCTTGGGCCTTCACTTCCTGCTGTTCCACTGCCCTGTTTTGAATGAGCCCTGGGACTAAGATGGCACATGTTTGTCTTTTCAGAAACCCTGAGGACTAGGTGTTTCTACAATTGTCACGTTTAGATTTATTCACCAAATCTCTCTGTGTGCTGATGTACCCACATGGGAATAATTCACAGCACCCCAAGGTGGTGGGGGGAGGAATGTGTTGCAGGCAGACACAAACCCTTTGTGGGTTTCTCTAAGGTGCCGTGCTGGCAGACAGCCATGGTCAGTGCATGGGCTCAGCTTGGCAACAGTTGTTAATGTGAATCTTCCTCAGTGGACTTTTCTGGTGATAAGCTGGGAGTGCAGGAGAGGGAGGGGCTGTGAGGAGGAGACAGAGAGGGAGCAGGGACACTGGCAGAGGCAGAGAGAGGCCCCCGTGACCCTGCCTGGCGGTCAGGGGACAGGGCTCACTGATCCTAAAGTACCGGGCCCACAATCCAGCCAACCAGCATTCTCTCCCTGTCCGCAGCACACGCTCTGCCTGGACTTCTTGTGACTTTTCCCTGCTGGGGAACCCCTCCACCCTGAGCTCCGGGGCCCTCCTGCCCATCCACGGTGTGCACGCTCCTTACACTTGGTCTAGCTTCGGCACAAAATCCAGCAGCTCCTTCTCTTCATCGATATCCCTGGAATCCTGTTTCTCAGCCTTGGAGACGAGTTCTTCCCCTGAAACCACACAAGTCTACATGAGTGACAGGATGGAGGTTTCCTCTTTCTATTTAAAAAGTGCTTTCCTGCTCCTCCTCTCAATGCTGGCCCCCGAGGGGCAGAGCAAGGCCCTTGCTGCTCCAAGGCGACCACTAACAATGTCTTGGGCCAGCCCCGTTCCGTTCCTCCAGCCCGGTGGCACAGAGCAAGCCAGCCAGCTCCCAACAGCTTAGTCTATACCAGCCTTCGCAGAAGACAAAAAATACAGCCAGAAGAGACTTCTTTGGCCTGAACAAGCTCCACTTCAAAACAGCTCTTGCTGGGGACGCAGACGCCAAAGAAAAGAGTTGTTTCTGTCCTTTGCCACACCACACACTATGGAAGAGTAAACTACAATGGGACTGAGCCCATTCATTTTGAAGGGCTCTAGCGTTTTTTTATAATCATTGCAGCTGAAACCTTATTATTTCCTAAGTCCATTACAAAGTGGTTCAAACTGTCTGCAGCCCCGACTGCCTCTTTGTTTCTCTTTCCTTGCTTGAACCGAGTGGGAGCCCTCGACCTTGCGGTGTCATTTACTGTCACTTAGCAGTGAGCATCCTGGCTCTGTGATCTGGAGCTGACAGGATGGAATAACAACAGCTCATGCAGTTATGATCACAAACACAGTGGCATGGGCACAGACACGGAAATGGACAGGCAGGAGCTACCTGCCCAGGCGTGGATCTTATGGGTGTAAATCTCCTGTTACAGTGAAGCTCCTGGCTCCAGATTGTTAGCCATTGGAGGAGGGTGGAAAGCAGGAATGGATTAGTGAGAGCTGGGATTGCTTAGGGTGAAATGCACTCGTGAGAAAGGACCACAGGGAACAGAAAGTGTTTCATACCCATGATAGTTATATGAGCAGTTCCTGGAAAGCAAAGAAGAGCCAAGTTTAAGAAAGGGCAGGATAAATTTAAAGAAAAAAAACACTTATTTAGGGGCACCTGGGTGGCTCAGTCGGTTGAGCATCTGACTTAGGCTCAGGTCATGTTCTCACAGCTCGTGAGTTTGAGCCCCACATTGGGCTCTGTGCTGACAGCTCAGAGCCTGGAGCCTGCTTCGGATTCTGTGTCTTCCTCTCTCTCTGCCCCTAACCCACTCGCATTCTGTCTCTGTCTCTCTCAAAAATAAATAAACATTAAAAAAATTAAAAAAAAAAAAAAGAAAGGGCAGGACTGAAGTCAGTTAATGCAAGAGGCATATTATTAACGGGGACACAAAGGAGCTGTAATCACCTCGCTGACATGGTTAAGACACCAGGGACTAGAGAGATAATCCAGACCAACCCCGTGATTTTACATCACAAGGGCTCCCCTCAGACCTACGTGAGGAGACAGGCTTATGTGGGGCAGGAAATATACTACAAGCACTCCCTGGCTCACAGAAGTTGAAACTATAGTGATTTCATAATAATGGTTGCACCCCAAAACTTACTGACCCACTATGTGGTCAGAAGAGTAGCTTAATTAAAAAAAGAATTCTTACAGATTTTAAATAAACAGCTTGTTATTTGTTCAAAGCACAGGAAAGTATCAGGCAGAATTTTATTGCAGTTCTCAACAGCTCTGAGAGTTGATCTGAGTAGAATCATACTCCATGTATAATGGACAAACACACATATATTTAGGAAAGTTCAAGGCATTTTGTATTTTAACTCTGAGACGTAGGTTTTTTTTCCTGCTCCTAAAATTACACTAAAGGAATATTTTTGATAACGGAAAACATCATTAAAAAGCAGTTCTCTCTGACTTTGATACAGCCCCGCAGAACACGTGTGTGCATGTGTGTGTCTGTGTGCAAGAAGGGCCCCTGAATGCACTATGGCAGGTCCCAGGAGGCACCCAGGGACAGAGGGCTCCCAGGTGTGCTCCCTTTGGACTGACTTTCCCCAGACTTTTTGTTAATCCCAGACGTTACCTTCATCTTCAGAGACATCCAGGATCTCATCTACCGTCTCAGGGAAACTCAACCGGTGCTTGTCACTGGCTAACTAAAAGAAAAAGCAGAGAATTCAACCCAAATAGAACAGTAGGCCCTTTCACAGATTCAGCAGGAAGGAGGTGGGAAAGGAGGTTTGTCTTACAGGAAGAGAATCAAAGCTGAGAGGCCCTTCCGCCTGAAAGCTGTCTGGCAAGGGGATAAACAGGAAATGCCAGCTTCCTATTGCCATGTCTCCGCCCAGCACCCAGCTTGCTATTTGCCCCCTTAGGTCTGGTCACAGCCCTAACTCTTTTCACCACTAGGTGGCAGTACAACTCCGCCTGATAGAGGAGAACACCCTCTTCCTGTGGCCCCAGCCGGCCACTGGTGCTGTGCTTCCTATCCCATCCCAGAATGTGCTCCTCTTCCCAGAGTAACCCACAGGGCCGCCCTGTCAGTCTGTGTGTATCTGGGGTGGATGGTGCAGCGGAGAAGCAGACATACCACAAAACTGGTTTCATCCGTGACAACCTTGAGCACGTCTGTTACAGAGATGTAGCCTAAGCGCTTGGCTATTGCCAGAGGTGTGGTTCCATTCTGGGAAAATTAGCAGAGACAGAGTGAGATCAGATAAGGGAATGGCGTCTGGGGGGAAAGCACTGGCCCCTTTATGTAGACCAAGCTCACATTCTAATTCTTTAGAAGAGTGTAGGTGGGCACACTGCACCTCAGAGCCCAGAGCAAGACCCCCGCACACTTGTGAGCCCAGACAGGTGTTAGGAACAATGCTTGCAAAGATGGGGTATGGGAGAGAGGAGGGCAGTGATACTTTAAGTCTGTAGCACCGAATGTGGGAGTTTTGAAATGAGAACAGGGGAAATCTTGCCAGGACAAGTCAAGAACTGCCAAGAGGGAACCAAACCAACTGGAAGGAATGGGTCAGGAAGGCACCATATGCAATTTTGGAATAGGAAAGTGGAGGGCAGTGCTGCTCACTGCTCCCAACACCAGTTCTTTGGGTATCCGTTACTGAGTGCTAAAATAATCAAAATAATGTATACATACTTCAGTTAACTGTTTAGGCCAATTAGAAATCACAAATCACCACCAGAAACAGGGAAGGGGCATATTTTCTACTTTGATTTGAAGAGACAGAGCTAAATGGAAGTAGAGTGATATTGAGGCTTTATTTTCTTTTAAGTTCTCCAGTCCCAGGGATGTGTTCTGGGCCCCATACACATTCAGCTCCAACCAGTTATAGGTTTAGCAGCCACATCTACGAAGGTCCAGATGCCTTCAGAGCTGGAAGCAGCCATGGAGAAAATCTAGGAAAACCTGCCCATCGTCAAATGAGGAAGCCCCTATTCAGGATTGAGCATATTGCTCAAGACAACCCCGAAGCCCTGAAACATCATGAACCACGCAAGACATTTGGTTTGCTACTTGTACTATTACTAAAAGTGGCATCACACATGCACAGAGAGAGTTTCAACAGCACTATTTAAACAAAGGTAAAGAGGGAGGGTAAATGATATTTAGAGGATAACCTAGAGTTCACCAGAAAGAGAAATCAATCACAGCACCCATGCCCCGGGCTACTGACGCAGCTGTGACTTTATGGTCCAGGCCCCGGATGTGCAGCAAGGGTAGACCAAGCCTCTGTGGTGAATAGGGGTCTCACGGGACTGCCCATCGGGACCACTTCTCCGAAATTGGGAAACTGGTGGGTACTTACCGAGCTGACCTCGTTTGGGGAAGCACCATTTTTGAGAAGCAGTGTCACGATGTCTGTATGTCCCTGTTGGGCCGCCTGGTGCAAGGGACTGTATCCTTGCTGTAAAGCAAGGTAACATTTTGGCAGGATTAACTAGTTATGAGAGAGAGAGAACTGCCCACATATTATACAGCCTGGCTTCTATGTGCAAGACAAAAAAGGCATTTTCCCCATTTCCGCCTCTAGGGTCAAAGCTTAAAATTGTGGCACAGCCCCAAGTGCCCCAGGGTTAACTCTGACTGCACCCTAATTTGGCACCTAAGAAGTGACAGTATAGAAGTCAGCTCTCAAGTGTTCCTGTACCTTCGTCTTGGCATTGACGTCTGCCTGGTGCTGTAGTAGAAACTTTACCAGCTTGATATTTCCATAATGACTGGCCACGTGGAGTGGGGTATAACCCATCTGAAAAGCAAGAGGTGAGAATGGGTAAGCATCAGGGCTTCGGGGCAGGGCTAGGGGTGCACATAGGGGAGAAGGGTGGGGAAGCACACATGGGCAGAAGCACAAACTAACTGCCTGCCTTACCCGGGTGGTGGCATCCACCATGACACCGTGTTTGATCAGCACATCTGCCACTGGAACGTGGCCTTCTTGTGCTACCAGATGGAGGGGGGTGAGTCCGCTCTGGAAGGAAACAGAAGTTCATCATCTTGTAGCCAATAAAGATTTTCAAGCCACAGAGAAAGAGCACTGGGGTTTGGGAGCCCAACCTAGCTGTGTAGCCACCGAACAGGTGTGTGACCTTGGACAAAGCTCTTCCAGCTCTGGGCCTCTATCCTTATCTGAAAAATGAGGTGGCTTAACTAAAGTAGAGGTTAACAGTGTTTTCTGCTAAGGGCCAGATAGTCAGTATTTTAGGCTTATGTCTCTGTCACAGCTTCCCAACTCTGTCAGTTATAATGAGAAAGCAACTATGGCCAACATGGAAACAAACGGACATGGCTATGTTCCAATAAAACTTAATTTACACCAACAAGTGGTGGGCCGGTTTTGGCCCATGGGCCGTAGTTTGCTGACCTGTGAACTAGAGAAACTTTATGGAACTTTCCACTTATAACATTCCCTATTTCCATAATTTGGGACAAGCTTCAGAGTCCTTATCTAGACCTATCTAGACCCTAAACCTATCTGGTTTCCTTATCTGGAAAATAGGGGTTATCACTGACATATCTTGAGGGCAAAGTAAGGTTGAGAAAACACTGATGAAAACACGCTGGAAAGCATGACGTGCCACTTCAGTGTAGCATGTTATTAGCACCTCACAGCCCGTGCCGCACTGTCGAAGGATGGATGATCCTTCAGGGTCCGAAAGCACCATATTCTTGGAGTTCTCAGCACAGCTTTCTCAGGACAGTGATGCGCTGGAGGGGTCATCTCATATGTGCACACTCACACAAAAATGCCAGGAAAGTCTTCTCTCCCCTCTCCCCTACTCAATATGCTTTGCTAACTGTGGGACCCACAGAGCTGTGATTCCTCTGCAGCCAGAGGCAGGGGGGCAGGGCCTGTCCCCTCTCCAGGGACTCCACTTGTCCTCCTCTGCCTTCTGCACTTCCCGGCAGGCTGCCCAGAGGCCCAGGAGCAGTAACCCTCGCAGCAAGGCCTGAGCAGGTGGGCGGGCGGGGCGGTGGCGAGTACAGGCTGTGACATGGAGAGGTCCTACGTCTGTCACAAGCCTCCAGGCGCTCGCCTGATTCTTAGGATAACACAGTAATTTGCCCCATGTAGTGCCATGTGGGATGAGTGAGGATGACTCCAGTACTGAGAATCACCACCACCCTATGGCTCCTCACAGAGCCTGCTTGAAATGGCACAAGGCAGAAACCAAGAATCCACTCAGTATAATGGTCCTGCCCTAACAGGTCCCTCCTGGGGATCACTTGTCCACCCCTGTGCAAAAAAGAACCAATGGATCTTTTAACAAATCTGTTTATCCTTAAAATGCTTGCCTTTCTGAAACTGTTCCTTTATCATCTAAAGGAGTGGCTCTTTGTATTGATTTCACTATATGAAACATCCAGAATATGCAAATTCAGAGACCGTAGATTAGTGATTGCCAGGGACTGAGATATTTGGGGGAAATGGGAAGCGGCCATTAATGGGTATGAGGCTTCTTTTGGGGTGATAAGAATGTTCTGGAAATTAGATAGTGGTGATGGTGGCCCAATTCTGTACATATACTAACAACCACTGAATAGTACAGTTCAAAAGGCTGAATTTTATTGTATGTAAATTGTATTTCAATAAAACTATGATTTTTTAAAAATAAGTGATTCTTGGTCTTTCTTGGGTCATGTGTTCCTTTTGAGAAGCTCCTTTGAGAACTACGAAGACTTCACCTAGAAATACACTCATATGCTCATCCTCTCAAAATGCTGTCTACAATCTTGGAAGGACCCAGATTCTTCCACCAATAGTCGGGATGGAGAACTGCTAGTTTAACGTACGGGTGGGCATTTAAAAATATTCTGCCACAGAAAACAAATGTTTAGTACCAAATTACTTACTACATTCCTGAATGTAGACCCACTGGCCTATATTTGGGAAAGTGTACTGTGGATTTTAATATTGATCTTTTTGCAGATTCTTGAGCTAATCTATCTAGAAAAGGCTTTGGCGTCAGGTAGGCTCAGGGTCATGCAACCCTGGGAATAAACAACTTTTCTGAATCTGTTTATTCATTTATAAAACTGAGATAAAACCTACACAGGGCTGTGGCAAGGATTACATGCTCACGCATGGGCACGTGCACACACACACACACACACACACACACACACCTAAACTCAGTGCCTGAGCACCCAGCAGGTACTCCATATTCAGATAGAATATCTACGTAGTTACCACTAAAACATTACCATGACTACAGGGCAAATCTGGAGAAGCCATATTTACCTTGTTCCCCAGATTGCCATTGGCTTGTTTCGAAAGTAGCAGAGCCACCATCTCTGCGTGACCCTCTTGGGCGGCCAGGTGAAGGGGTGTCACACCTTGCACCGACTCTGCATTTGCTGACCCCCCGTACTGCAGCAGGCTGCGGGCCACCTCAATCTGGTTCTGCTTGGCAGCAATGTGCAGAGGGGTGTAGCCATTCTGAAACAGAAGAAGCCACCCGGAGCCCGGTTACAAGAATGCTGAGTTGACAATATGAACACATGCCTTAGATTTTAAATCCTCTGAGGGAGAGTTAGGCCAGGTTCTTGGCCTGCCGGACACTCAGCGACACTCAGTGAGCAGAGCTGGTGTCACCAAGGAGAGTGATTTAAGTCAACAAACAAACAAACCAAATCCCTTTGATTTGGAGCCCCCCCCCACCCCACCCCCAGCCAGCATGACAAAGTGCTCTGCTGGAGGTGCTCTGTCACCACAAAAGCCAGCAGCTCGCAGAAGAACTAGAAAGCTAGGTAAATAAATGAAAGGCTCCTGTCTGTTACACCCACCCTCCCCGGGCTTGTGGACTGAGGCAGGGGGTGGAAGAAGGGTCAAGCCCAGCAAGGAACTTGAGGACAGGGAGGCAAGTCCTCTTTCCACATGAACTAGCTGTGTGACTGGGGGCAAGATATTCAATGTCTGTGAGACATCCTTTTATATTTTTTGAAGCCGTTTAAAGTGGATAATAACATCTAACTTGTTCTTTTCTCACAGCTGTTGGATGGAGCAAGTGCCTTATCCTGCTGCAGACAGCTGACAGCCTACTTTGGTCATCACTGTTAGAAACCACTTTCACCTACATGATCCCTTGTACAGGAAACAAGGCAGGCATTTTTATTATTGTCTCATTTTGTGGCTTAAAGAAGTTAATTCTCGGCAAGGTTAAGGGCCTTATCTAATGTCACCTAATAAATGAACAACAGATAACCCAAGCTGGCCTTCAGACTCCAGATCCCAGGTCCTTTCATCTGGAACATTGCTTCTCAAACCACGGTGCGTACACAAAGCACTCGGGATCTTGTTAAAATGTATACTCTGACTCAGAAGTTCTTGGCAGGCCCCAAAGTCTGCATTTCTAACAAGTTTCCAGATGATGCTGATGCTGCTGGTCCAGGGACCACACTTTGAGTAGCAAGGCCTCCACACATTCAGGACTAAAAGAGATGCCAGGCCTCAGGGCCTCTGAGCAGGACCCATGACTTCCTAGCACATGCCCGCCAGTCCCGGAGCAGATGGCATAAGACATACGGTTTCCCCACCTTGGCCAGCATTCCTCTGTCTCTCCCAGAGATCTGAACCTCCCCGCCAGCCACTGCCTTACTGTGGAAACCAACATTTCTGATTCTGCCAGGATCACTGATCAGGAAAAGGAAAGAGGAAAAAAGGGGGCTGAGAATATAGTAACATTCCAGGGTCCTAACATTGGAAGACAGGGAAAGAGCCATTAGGAAGGTGGATATCGTGGGGAAAATGAGAAGTTGTAATTTACCCAGAGAATTAAATTGAATAAAAAGATTCAATTCAATTGAATAATTATGTAAGATAATTCACTTCTGGGTTCCTTTTTAAAAAAATATGTTATGAGAATACATCCGCTTTAGGTTGTGTTCCCACAACAAGATCAACACTTTGATTATAATATTAATTAAACAAAACTCTTTTTGTGTTGTATCAACAGAAAGCAAAGAAAGAGGTGTGGTTTGCTAGATGGAGCTTGGGATCTGGAGCTATCCCCACAGGAGATGGCTCTCTGTAAGGGGAGCCTCAGAGAACGTCTGCTTCTCAGTGCCGTCCCCAGGATGGGTGGGATGACCTAACTGAGCACCCAGCCAGGGCCCGGGCCATAGCAGGTATTCACAGCAGGAAAGCAACGATTATTAGGAATTCCAATAGGTAAAGGACAGTACCAGGGAAGTCGAAGTATACTCATGGCAGTCTAATCAGGAGTACGGGTCACCTGGGCAGCTGGGCACATCCATACTGGCAAACACAGCACCCTGTCCTCGCAAAGGGCACACGTACTTTGGCAGCAGCTCAGGCCAGGTGATCCCTGGTTCAACCCGACATACAAGGGCAGCTGGCAGTCTCGGAACAGAGACTACCCCTCTGGGCTTCCCAGAAAGCAGGACTAAGGGGGATGAATGACCTTCTGTAGGTGACAAGGACAAGGGGCAGCTAGGTGGAGTGTTTAGGGAGGGGTATGTGCCATGGAAAGGTCTTTTTTTCCCAAGGAAATGAGCTCATCCAAAAGAATGCATACTGGAGAGAAATCTGCCTAAATGTTAAAACAACATTAGCATCAAAATGAGAAGGGGGAGGGTTTGGTTTGGGTGCAGAGAGATTTGCATGTGAAATTCTACAAAATTGCCAGACTACTTGGGAAACTATTTTTTGCCATGGAAACAAACCCCATCTGTACAAGGTTTGTGCTTGGATAAGGCTCTCTTTAAATACCATGAACCTGGCTCCAATTTCTTTTATATAAGGAGGGGAGTGAGGAGGCGGGGAGTCCAGCTTTTTATTTTTAGAGGCAGGAGTAAGTCACATCTTAGCGGGGCCGCATGCTCCGTCTGCACAGTGACGTGGGCTCGCTACAACAGCGGCAGGGACAGGAGCCCAAGGAGACAGAGGTGTCTGGGAGACGCTGTGTCTCCAGGGAAGGGAGGCTGTAAAATTCAGATGAGCATCCATTCTGAGGAGGGAAGACAAACTGAGGCCCGCACGGATTTTCCCGGGCTCGGCTCTGTTCCCGCTGCAGTCAGCAGGTGTCAGCTATAATCACACACCAACCCGCCCTGGTGGCTCCCTCTGCCGTGGCTCCCTCCACCGTGGCAGCGCTGAGCCTCCTGCCGGGTGGCTGAGCATCGGGCGGGTGGGGTGTGCTCTCTCAGAAACGGTCCTGTTCTCCGAGTCCTGGCTGCCCTATCAGTGAGCAACCTGATAGGTTTGTTTGTCCTTTGTAGCAGAGCCCTGCCCCTCCCCCCACTCGTCTCCCCTCCCCTGCGTGGCCATCAGCCCCCTCCCCTCACAGACAAACACTGTGCACCCTCTGGTCCCACACCAGGCAGCCTGTCCCCGAAAATGATCCTCACTTCCAGCTTGATCCCATCACCTTGCACTGCCTGCCCCCACCCCCAGTCTGATCTTACATAAGCGAGCCCGCTCAGCGTCCCTCACTTGGTTCCCTTGAGAGGCCGTGAACCTGCCACTCTGGGCAGCATGTTTCAGGGGCCGGCACTCTGGACTTATGTCTACCACGTAACATACCTGGGTGTGCCTTGTTAAAACACCACCATCTCCAAGTCTGAACTCCTGAGAGAAATACATTTGGGGGTGACTATTCACATCCGAAACAGGTCCCTTCCTTCAAGGTTATGGCAGCTTCACCCTCAGCCCTGAATATTTTGCCAGGTGTGGCCATTGTGCTGCCAGCACCAAATGGAGTGAGAACCTGACAAGGCTCACAGCTCCTGGAGATTCCTGGACATGCTGACTTGTGACCACCAGCTGACAAAACTCAGTTGACACACAGCACTTTGGGGAACACATTTGTTGTGTAAGACGAATCCCACCTCTGTGAGGGAACCTGTGGCTGAGAAGTGTTACCCATTTTCCACCCCACTCCTGATCTCCAAATAGTAGCAATTACCGCAGGTAACATTTGTGTAAGTGAGGTGAGATTTCAGAGGTAAAAATAAAAGCAAAACACGAAAACCCTCCAGCTGCTCTGGAACAGCCCTTCCTGAAGGAGAGGGAGGCAGCCTGCCTTCCAGAGGCCCAGGCTCTGAGGAGGTCCGGGGCCAGGGCTCCCAGTATACGGACCCGGACAGGCTTACCCAAGCGGGGCTGTGTGGGGAGCCGCCCCGGGGAAGCAGCAGCCTGACGATGTCCAGGTGGTTGTGATGGACGGCCACGTGCAGAGGGGTCAAGCCATTCTGCTGGGGGCAAGATGGACACAGAGAACAGCCTTCACTCAACTGGCTTTCTACTAGTGATCCCTTTAGCTACAGGAGGTGTCATGTTGGGATGTGTATCACTTCTTTTACAGAGTTACAATCTGGTTAAAAAGTCATTCCAAAGACAGTCTTGATCTGAAGTCACCCGAGAGACCAGCCAGACCCGGGGCTACCCCTCCCTCCCTCCTACCCTCCCCCCCGTTCCTGCAGGGCCTGGTGGGCAGCACAATTAACGCACTCCCTCGGAGGAGACCACCAGGTTTTCCTGAGGGGACAAGGCCTTTGTCAGAAAGACAGTCTTTCCAAAACCCCTTCCTCCAAGATGGCGGCCCATTCAAAAGATGGACACAATAGGCATGGGTAAGAGAGGTCATTCCCAAGTAGCAAAGTTTATCCTTTGCTCTGGCCTCTCAGGTGAGAGAGGGGCGGGGGTGGGGGGGCGCGGTGGTGGAGTTCAAACTCACTTTTCCAGCAGCATTTGGATGTGCGTCCCGTTCCAGCAGCACCTCGGCCACCCTAACCTTCCCATACTTGGCAGCCACATGGAGAGGGGTAAATCCTTTCTGAGGAGAAACACAGGCTGTCCGAACCAGGGGGCATCAGAGCTGTCTCCCCCTCACCCTCCAGAGAAAGGGCCCATGGCAAAGGAGGTATCCCGCCTTAAGTGGAAACGCTGATCAAATAAAGGACACAGCAATTTCTGATCCTTTCAAGAGGCCAAGGCCCCAGAAATTAGCAGGCTTCCTCTGATTGCACCTGCACCTCTCGTGATGGAGCATAAAACCACCTTGTGCTGTTGTTATTCGACTACTAGCAAGTTGAGGGCAGGGGTTGAGCCTTAGCCCTTCTTGTATTCCAGAACCAGATTTGTCCAGACCAAACAGCTATTTCATGATAAAGGGATGAAGGCTGGGTGGGTGGATGAGAAACTACAGTTTACCACCTTTCTGGGGAAGGATGACACATCAGGCTCACAGATGGCAGCCAGGCTGGGGGTGCTGGTCCTCCCGGCTGCTTTCAGCATTATCAAGGCAACACAGAGGAACAGGAGGGAACGCCCAGCCCACACCCCAGGCCCGCTGTAGCCAGCTGCCTCCAGAGAACAGGAGGAGGAAGGCTGTACCTTGGTCATGCATGCCTGGGACGCTTCCTTTTCCAGGAGGGTCAGGACCGTCTCCACATGGCCCTCTCGGGCTGCAATGTGCAGGGGGGTGTGCCCAGCGGTCGTGGCCAGGTTGGGATTGGCGTTATTTTCCAGCAGGAGCTTCACCATGTTTGTGTGGCCAATGCGAGCTGCACAGTGAAGTGGGGTCTGGTCATCCTGGAACCCAAAGTGAAACCAAAGAACAGGGAAGGCTTCTTAATCCACCTTCTCACTTTACAGAGAAGGAAGGTGAGACCCAGAGGGGGTAAGTGACTTTCTCAAGGCCACACAGCTAGTATGATGAAGAGCTGGGATTCAAATCAAGTCTCTGAGTTACAGAAATAAATATGCTCTCTTGTGGACTCCTCACAACTACCCTTCAACTTAGCTGTTATTTCTACTGAATTGCCCAAAGGCTCAGCCTTCCCATCTGTAAAATGGGAACAGTAATATCTACCTCTTGGGCTATGGCGAGGATCAAGCAGGTAGTGCCTAGAAAATGTTTTGCACAGTGTTTGGCACAAAACACGCACTCAGTATGTGGCACTTGTTCTTACCGTCTTCCAAGTCATGTCTGAGTGGCTGTTTGCCTTTCTGTTTGAAAGGGGTCAAGGGAAAGTCTAAATGGCTGAAGGGGAAAGATGACTTTCTTTTCCCACCCCTGTTCCTCCTCCTCCCCTGATACTGAAGGGGTTCAAGGGTGAGGTCTCTGTGCTCTTGGGCCCATTTGGGAGACTCCTCGTGTGGCCCAAGCACAAACCACTGTTCCAACTGTAAACACAGCCGCTGTCTTCTGGGATGTAGGCAAGCCCCATCTCGGTCAAAGCCAATCACCTTGCAAATTCAGTAGCAATTCTTTCTCTCATTCAGCTGATTCCTTGAGAATACCTTTTACAACAAGGGGGGATCTTCCATTTTTAGATCAAGTAATTCCCGACTGATTTTTATTGGCAACATAGTCTCCAAAAAGTTGCTTCTCGGGGTGCCTGGGTGGTTCAGTCGGTTAAGTGTCCGACTTCAGCTCAGGTCATGATCTCATGGTTTGGGCGAGTTTGAGCTGGGCTCTGCGCTGACAGCTTGGAGCCTGGAGCCTGATTCGGATTCTGTGTCTCCCTCTCTCTCTGCCCCTCCCCCACTTGTGCTCACTCACTCTCTCTCTCTGTCTCTCTCTCAAAATTAAATAAGTAAACATTTTTAAAAAGTTGTTTCTTTTCTTACGCCACAACTCTCACCAACATGAAACTCTTTCAGCCCAAAAAACTCTGCAACCTAGCCATGTTCTTTAGACTTTCATTATCCTAAAGAAACATAGATCCGGTTCAGTCGGTTGAGAGTCTGATTCTTGATTTCAGCTCAGGTCATGATCTCAGTTTGTGGGATCGAGCCCTGTGTCGGGCTCTGTGTGTAGACCCTGCTTGGGATTCTCTCTCCCTCTCTCTCTGCCCCTCCATGTACTCCCTCTCTTTCTCTCTCTTAAAATAAATAAATAAATAAATAAACATTTTTTAAAAAAGAAAAAGAAACATAGGTGTGGTCTTCTCAGATCCCCTGCAAAGCAGAATCTGAACAGTTAGCACAGACAATGTGGGAATGACAAGGAGTCTTTGTGCCACAAGCAGTACAGCCAGGCCCCTAACAAGGATGGATTTCTCTTCAATGCACTTGAATTACTTACATTCCAGAATCCTTCCCACCTCCAAAACTCACCTTGGCCTTGGCATTGACTTTGGCTTTGTTCTGGAGCAAATATTTGGCCACTTCCGTGTGCCCGGCTCTGGCTGCCATGTGCAGTGGGGTCTCCACTTTCTGTAAAATAACAGAGTTATAGAAATGTTCATATGTACTGAGTTTCCAAAAGGACACATGCACGGTTCCAAAATGCCAGCCTGGAGTAACTTGGTGGCCTTTTGTCCAAAGGTGGAGTTGCCCTAGCAAGCAGCTCCGTTGGCCTTTAGCCTGCTGATGACTGGTGTGTGTGTGTGTGTGTGTGTGTGTGTGTGTGTGTGTGTTTTCTAGGTATAATTGAAGGTAAACCCCAGAGCTAATGAATGTTAAAGATTATAAATGTATTTCCATATAACACGGAAGTTCCCAAATTACTGCCTAACATAAACTCCTAGGACTTACAGATGTGTGATAAATTTAATTGGGAATGCATCAATATACACACATGTTCTTCCCAAATCTGAAGTCTCTCCTATTCTGAGAATTCTAGCTCTGTCCTCAGAGAGGAGATCTTAAGATCACTAGCTAAGCTCCTCTCTGAGCTCTCGGTCCAGAGGAAAGAGCCCTTGCCCTCCCCACGGGCTTACCACGTTGGAGACGTTGGGTGATGCCCCCCGCTGCAAGAGGTTCTTCACGATGGGCAGGTGCCCCATGAAGGAGGCCACGTGGAGAGGTGTCAAGCCAGACTGGAACACACAAGAGAGGAATGAGAACAGAGGAGCCTTTTCTGCTCCTATAAAGAAGAGAGCCAGATGAATCTAATGCTTTCTTCCTTCTAGGTGCTCCAGAATGGTTTTCCAAGAAAGGGGAGTTAAATGAGATGGGTTTGCTTCCAGGAAAATGACTGGCAGAAGAAAAAATCACTGCAGGGTCATTCTGTCTGCTTTACAACTCAAAAAAAAAAAAAAAATTGCATCTGATCTTGGAAAGGTCCCTGAAACTCTACACATGTTCTCTTATTTGGTCACCCAACTGATCCCTTCAAGAAGCCCAGGCTTGTACACACATGTGGCTAAGAACAACGAGTCTCAAGACAGCTTCTGGATGAAGACCAGGGGCAGAGACCATGTGCCCATCTGCAGAATTCTCCTACCTCGGTGACAGCATCAATGGAAGCTCCCGTCTTCAGCAGCAGCTCCATGACACGGATGTGGTTCTTCTTGCAGGCGATATGCAAGGGGGTAAAGCCATTCTGCAGCCCCGCACATAGGGAGACAGACAAGCAGGAACTTACAACATTGGCCCAAGGAGCACCCAGACCACCCATCAGTGATTCCCAGTGGCCGGACCATCGGTGACTGTGAACCACGCAAGAGGCAGGCGGCTCTCGCCTTCTGCACCATGTATGTTCCTGAACAAGTTGTCTATCAACCCTTTTAAAAATTTTAATCATATTTTTGAGTGCACAAAAAGAGCCTGCTGTTTAATGTTTCCTTAAGGGGAGACTGACAATAAAGAGTACTTTTGTGAAACAAATCATGTTCCCTCTCCCCTGAAACCACCAATCATTTTTAGTAAAGTGGATCTCCATATAGCAACTCCGCTGTAGATGTAAATTCCACAAGGGCACGGATTTTTATTTGTTTGTTTTTGTTTGTTTTTCCAGTGCTTTATTCTATTAGGCAGTGGTTCTCAAAGTAAGGGGAGGGGAGGGGACTTTGTCCCACCCACCCCAGGGACACTTGGCAACATCTGGAGACACTGCTGTTGTCACAACCAGAGGAGGATATTAGCACGTAGAGGGTGGGGGCCAAGGACACTGCCAAACATCCTATCAGGCACAAGCCAGCCCCCCACAACAAGGAATATCAGACCCAGAATGTCAATAGTGCTGAAGCACAGAAATCCCCCAAGTACCCCCAAATAGTCCCTGGCATGTGGTAAAAGCTCCATGAAAGCTTTCTGAATGAATGAAGGAGCCATCTTTGTCAGACTGGAAGCTCTCCTGCCTTCTAAATTCTCCCCTCTGGGAGTGGGCAGAGAGGACATGGTGGTCAAGGCCATGCTCTGTGCACAGCTCTGGCCCCACCAGATCCCTGATGCTGTGTCCTCAAAGTGCCAGGCCTGGGGAAAGAGGAAGAGGAGCCATAGTCCCAGGGGGCAATTGGCTTTAGGCGAGAACTTTCACCAGCACTGTGAAAACTCTAAGTCCGTCAGCAGAGGAAGGATGCTTAGCTCAGCCCATTGCACTCACCCCCCACCCAAAGCAGGCAGTCTATAGGCAGTCACTGTTCCTCAGCATTGGGCTGTCTCAGATGGAGTGGCTCCCCCAACCCACATACATACCACGGACACGGCTTCTTAGTCAGATCTCCAGGACCCATACCCACCCCTGACCTCAGTCTGTCACCAGGGCCATGGTCATCGGGGTGCAGAAGGCGATACCCAGCTGAATGTGGCAGGGAGTGTGGGGGTTACCATCCTGCCTCCTGGGTCCTAGCAGGCACTGCCACTATCCAGACCCCGAATCTCGGGGGTACCTCCAGGCACCAATTGGTGCCCTTCCCACCAAGCTCAGCCACACAGCTCAGTCCTGCCTCCCTCAGCCTTTGACCCTCTGGCACCTTCTCCAATAGGCTCCCACTCACCAGGGCTCTGGAATTTGGTTTGGCTCCTTTATCCAAAAGGACCTTGGCTACTCTGTGATGGCCGCAGTGGGCTGCCACGTGGAGCGGGGTCAGGTGGTCCAGGGTGATGTCGTCTATCTCTGCGTTGTATTGCAACAGAAGTCGGACACAGTCAAGGTGGTCTCCCTGAGCCGCCATGTGAATTGGAGACAGGCCATTCTGGGAGAAGAGGGAAGAGAAGTAGTTGTAAAGGAAATGAACACAGAAATTCAAGGAGATAATTCCAACCTCATTTCCTACTTCTTCCCTACACGATGCTTCCAGGCAGCTCCTAAGTGAGTTTGGTTCACTCTGGCCCCTGTGGTCATGCTGGTCTCTGACTACACTCTCCTTTCTACCTCATCAAATCCTCCAAGCCAGCTCCAGCCAGGCCCACCTCTCCCAGGAAGCCTTCCTTGACTACCCTAGACTTCCGTGGGCTTTTCTTACCTGTCACTCAGACCTTACTCATAGATATGCTGAATTGTATCTATAACTAACTTATCAGGTGTGTGTATCTTCTCTCCTTACTTATCAGCCTCTTAAGACCAGTGACTATGCTTCATATCTCTCATATGCCCCACAATCCTCATATATGCATGTAACACACATAGTGATCCTTAATTCACGTGGTTATGAACGAATGAATGAATGAGTGAGCACAACATGGAATTCACATCTAAATCCCTCTGTTCTTTGCCCCTAACAAACCTGTATCACTTAAAAAACTTTGTTAAGGACTCTCATGGTTTCTTAGGTGGCAATCTATTTTAAAAAACATTAAAGACAGAGGAGCCTCTTCACTCATTCACTCACAGATTAATTCAACAAATATTTATTAAGCGATCAATGAGCACCAGGTATGGGTTAAGTGACAAGGAAACAAAAGAGAACAGACATAATCCCTGGCCTAAAGAAGCTTATAGTCTGTCAGGTAAAAGAGTGGAAACAGATACATTGTTGCTGTTCAGTGTGGTAACATCAGGAAAGGCAAGATCAAAGCACAGAGGTCCACAGCAGGGTGGATGGGGAGAGACGGCTTTCAGGAGGAGGTGGTCCTGAGCTAGGACTTGGCCAGGAAGACAAAAGGGGAAGAATCCGCCAGCGAAGGGAGCAGTGTGAGCTATACCACAGAGGCAGCCATCCTTGGGGAACTCAGGGAGCTCAAGGCAGTTAAATCCCAAAGGAGGACAAAGTGTGATGGGGGCTTGGAGCTGGGTGGGGGGCAGGCAGGAGCTGGATCATGACAATCCATGAGCTCAGGAGCTGGGATGTGAGTTCTAAGAAGAGGATTTTCAGCAAGGGAGATACAAAACCAGGCTGCAGGACAGCTTGTATTTGTGTACTAGGTTGCCCTGTGTCACCTCAAAATCCACATGTTGGTGGCGCCAGGGTGTCTCAGTTGGTTGAATGGCCAACTCTTGATTTCAGCTCAGGTCATGATATCACGTTTGTGAGACTGAGTTCTGTGTTGGGCCCTATGCTGAGCGTGGAATCGGCTTGGGATTCTCTCTCTCTCTCTGTCTCTCTCTCTCTCTCTCCCCCTCTCTCTCTCAAAACAAATAAACTGAAAGAAAGAAAGAAAGAAAGAAAGAAAGAAAGAAAGAAAGAAAGAAAGAAAAGAAAAGAAAAGAAAAGAAAAGAAAAGAAAAGAAAAGAAAAGAAAAGAAAAGAAAAGAAAAGTCCACATGTTGAAGTCCTAACCCCAGGAGCTCAGAACATGATCTTATTTGGAAATTTGGCCATTGCAGATGTAGTTAGTTAAGATGAGGTCGTTAGTGTGGGCCCTGATCCAGTATGACTGGTGTCCTCCTAAAAGGGGGAAATTTGCACACGGCCCCTCACACAGAGAGAGAATGCCTCTGAAGGCAGAGGTCAGGGCGATGCATCTACAAGCCAAGGAATGCCAAAGACTGTGAGCAACCACGGGAAGCCAGGAGACCGGCCTGGAACAGATTCCCCTTCACAGCTCCCAAAGGTACCAGCCCTGCTGACACTGATCTCAGATTTCCAGCCTCCAGAACTGTCAGGCGATGGGCCTCTGTTGTTCAGGCCACCTAGCGTGTGGCACTTTGTGACAGCAAACCAACACAGCTCGTTGCCACTTAGTGAGTTTTACGGAGGTCCTAACTTATTTCCCAGTTGAAGAGTCAGAAGTTCTCAGTGAAGAATTTTCATGACTGCCTTTTTAAGCCCCATCCTAATAATCTGGGTAATATAAAATCATTACCAACTTAAGAACCTTTATGTAAGTTTAAACACAGGACCCCTGTGGGAAAACGCTGAGAATTTCCTGATCTGACAACAGAATCGGTGGTAGCAGTTCTACCTTCACTTACCCGAGGATTTTTACTTTTATATTATCTCATGTGATCATCCCAACGACTCTAGAGACGGGTAGAGCTCTACAGATGAGGAAACAGAGGCAGAGACAGACTAAGGGACACACTCAAAGTCACACAGCAACTCAGCCGTGGATGGAGGTTTAAACGAGAAATAAACTGGTTTAGGAGAGGATACATCCTGCCTCACCCCCAACCCCCGACCAATCACACACGTACACACACAAAGCCAGCTTGGTGCTGTGAGTCATGACCCAAATTACAAGTAGCTGTGTAGAAAGACTCCCATGATGATCTGTCACAGAACGGACGGCTTTCATGGTTATGGGCTATCTGCAACTGCCCACACAAGACCTCTGGGGAGGCTGTGAGTGGGCCTGGTTTCTCCCTTGTTCTATTCTGACACCCTTCCAAATTCACCCCAACGAAGTGGGCAGAAGGCCTAGGGGAGGTATAAGCAGTACGAGGCGGTCTGACAGCTTTAGCCCCAGGAAGACTCAAGAGCTGAAGGAGGGGCCTTTGCTCTGGCCCTTCATGGACCTTGAGAGGAGCTATTCTGTTTTCTTTTTTAACTTCACTTCAGTCTGGCCCAGGCTCTAAAGACTTCTTGCGGTGCTTAGAGTCTGTCTTTTCTTGGAGCCAAGATAAAAGACACAAGGGTTAATCTAGAGCTGTAGCAGGCAAATGACAGTCCGTGGGTCAAATCTGGTCTGCTGCCTGTCTTTGTAAATAAAGTTTTATTGGAACATGACTGTTAGTTTGCATATTATCCATGGCTGCTTTCCTACAACAATGGCGGAGTGGAATCATTGCAACAGAGATCATGGCTTGCAAAGTCTATCTGGCCCTTTAGGGAAAAAGTTTGCCGTGCCTGAGATAGATAATAGTTAGACCTATACTGGGGCTCCTGGGTGGCTCAGTCACTTAAGCGTCCGATTCTTGATTTCGGCTCAGGTTATGATCTCAACAGTTGTGAGTTCTACCCCCACATCGGGCTCTGTGCTGGTGATGTGGAACGTGCTTGGGATTCCCTCTGTCTTTCCCCCTCTGCCCCTCCCTGGCTCATGCTTTCTCTCTCAAAAATAAAATCAAATAAACATTAAAAAAATAATTAGAGCTATACTGAGTGTCTCCTGTGTGACAGGCATCAGGGTACACATCACACATCACTGGTTCTGCGAGTAGTATTAGCATCTCTGTTTTTCAGAAGTGGGATTTGATCCTGGGTCCCCCTGACCTGGACCCCTGGGGAAAAGATGTTCCTCATGGGAGGGAAGCAGGGAAGCACAAACCTTGGTTTTAGCTTGGATGGGTGCCCCGTGGTCCAGCAGGATCTCTGAGATTCGCACGTGCCCATTCCGAGCTGCACAGTGGAGAGGTGTCAATTCATCCTTTAAAAGACAGGGTCCAAAAGAGAAAGCCCCAAAGGCACCTATCAGAGCCACTGTAGGGAAGACTGCCCGCAGTATCACTGCAGTCACAGAAGCGGGGATGCTTCCTGAAAGACCACCTCAACTTCAGCACATCTCACTATGTCTCCTGCTGCATCCTGGCTCCCACTGCGAGCTAGTCCAGGATGCTGGAGGCCCATCACTAGCTGGTCCCTGAGAGCCACCACTCCAGCTGTGACTCTGAGGCAGAACTCCCTCCCTGGGCCTTGCCACGGAGCTCGCTGGCACCCACCTTGGTCCTTGTTTCTATCTGGGCCCCGCGGTCTAGCAGGAGCCGCACCATGATCACGTTCCCCCTGCGGGAGGCGATGTGCAGTGGCGTGATGCCGTTCTGGAAGGGAGGAACAGGAACCAGTGAGGGTTTGGCACCTCCCCCTCCAATGCCACTGCTATGCTCCCCACTCCCCCTGGCTCCCAGCCTCAGCCTGACAGCGGCAGCAACATAAGAGGCCATGCTAAGCCTACCATTAGTCCATTTCTCACCTAAGAAAGTTTTCAAAATCTATGAGGATGTGACAGCATGGTGGTTAATCTCACCAATCTGACCGAGCCATATCTCCCAGAGTCATCGTAACAGATTGGAAGAAAGCCCTGCCCTCCAGGCTTGCCACCTCGAGAATGGGCAAACAGAAACTGATATGCAGGTGATCAGAAACCCATCCATGAGGGGCACCTGGGTGACTCAGTGGGTTAAGCGTCCGACTCTGGATTTCGGTTCAGGTCCTGATCTCACAGTTTGTGAGATCAAGCCCTGCAATGGGCCCCATGCTGACAGTGGGGAGCTTGCTTGGGATCCTCTGTCTCTCCCCCTCTCTGCCTCTCTTTCTCTCTCAAAAATAAATAGATAAACATTAAAAAAAAAAAAGAAACCCATCAATGAGCAGCCTCAATAAACACCAGGCGGTCCCACCCATGGTCACTTGTGCCATAAGGAGGAAATCCATGGTGTCAAAGTGAGAGGCAGAAGCCCAGAGGCCAGACAAGCCCAAACCCCTGGCCTGAGTGCGGGGTCTGCCAGAGCACCTTACCTGTGGCGTGAAGTTGACACTGGCGCCCCTGTTGAGGAGTAGCTGGGCCACGTTGAGGTTCTCGTAGTGAGCTGCGATGTGGAGGGGGGTGAATCCCGTCTGAAGCACGACAGAGGGGGAAACAACTTGTCACAAGCCTCGCACTGTCATTTTCCATCTCAGAATCAGCATAGGGATTCTGGAAACGTTGGCAGGGCCAGAGGACCCGATGTGGAAAGATTTTGACTGATGAGAACATTTGCTGAAGGGATCAAGGAATGCTTTCTGGCAAGTCATATTCAAAGCTAGGTCCTACCTCTGAGGGACCCACGTTCTTTGTACTGTGGTTCACGTGGACAAACCATGCACTAGCATGACCTCCAACTCTGCAGGGCCCACTCACGTGAATGGTTATTTTCAAAGCGATTTGAATGAATGAATGAAAAGTGCTTTGGGGTCCACGATCTGAGCTCTAGAGATTGTTTCAGCCCTCTAAAGGGGTGTCGTGACTCAGCTGCTGGCCAAAGGCAGCCCTTGGACCCCTTCTGGGTCATTGTCATTATTCTGTCCTATAACCTGAGACCATGCCTAATCCGGTCAGCAGTTTTCAGACAAAACTCAGTGACCGTGGGCTGGAGGGACCGTGTGAATAGCTCAGTGCAATCCACTCCCACTGCAAGAGAAGTAATTAACAGCCCAAACTTACAGATAGTGGATCAGTAGTGCCTCAAAACATCAGACAGCTAGCTGTCCAGGCCCCTGGGGAGCCCTCCCAGTCCTCATCTCCCCATGTGTGGACACTTCCCTTCCTCCACTAGGGGCCAACCAGGAAAAGAGGGGTATAATTCTAGAACACCACCCGCTAGATTCCCAAGTTTCACTCCGGCCAGAGACCCAAGCTGCCCTGGACACTCCTCTGGATGACCTAGAGCAACAAGAACCATTCCTGCTCCACACCAAGCACATCTCTCCTGGTGTTCACCAGGGGTTTAAAGTGAGGCTGTCCACTGTAGCTCCTACGGGTCCCAGCAGGAATCTGAAGGCCCTGTGGGAGCTGGTGTTCAGTGTGCACCTCTGGCCTCGGCTCATTCTTGGGGAGCTGTTGGGAGTTAACAGTGCCTCTGTAACCCATACGGCTCCGTGGTCCAGGTACTAGAATTCTCCTGGTCCTCCTGGGCCTGGCTGCCCTCACCTTGGAAAGCACGTCCGGGTTGGGGTCATTCTGCAGAAGCACCGCAGCTGTCCGGGTGTCATCATTACGGGCTGCGATGTGCAGGGCAGGGAGGCGCACCTTGCCCTTTGTCCCATAGTTGATGAGGTGTGCCACCACGTTCTCATGGCCCTGCTGCAGAGCCACAGCTAGAGGAGTGAAGCCGTCCTGGCCAGAGGAAAGGAGGAAAGATGCATTTGCTCGGACCGTATCTGACCACTTGCTGTCCTCAAGCCAGGACCCACGCTTTCACACCTCAGGGCTCTTGCTCATGACGGGCCCTCAGCCTGAAACGACTTTCTTACAACTCAAAGCCCTCTTCATCTGTCAAGCTCAGTTTAAATGCCACCTGGTCCCTAAAGCCTTTCTTGGCCCCACTTTCTTTCTCCGTAATCCCACAGAGCCTACAGCCACTAATTTTCCTTTGTAACTCGCTCCCAGTCTCACTGCGTGCTCCGAGGGCTTTTCACTGCCCTCTGTTTCTCTGCCTACCCTTTCTGTCACCCGATCCACTGGTGCCAGGCCAGTGCCTTCAACATGGCAGAAGATCACTCATTTATTCATTTCATGAGTATTATTAACACCTACCAAATGCTAGAAACTATGCCAGGCACTGAGGATTTGATTGTGAGCTACTGTCATTAATCCCCTCAGTTGTGTGCTAAGGGGCACAGGACCCCGTGGACTGGCAAAGCAGAATGAGAACAAAGTCATGTAATTGTTGGCTCTACCTAGTTCAATTTCATCACTTCATCAATGACAAAACTCAGGATCAGAGCTGAAATGACTCATGGTTTATGGCAGGATCCTTTCTCATTAAGGTCCAGCCTTCAGTGGTGCTTAATGTGGGAAGGACAAGCTTGACTCTGACATCATTTCTCTGGTATGTGTCTGGGCATTCCTCAAGACCCATGACTTTGTCCCTCACTCCCTTGAAGAGCCCGATGGCACCCAGGATGAGTGCAGTGATCAGAAGGTAGAGAGCACTCTGTGACACTTTACGCGGATCGTGACTGAGGAAGCATCTTAAGCCTTGTCCGAGGAATGCACGCCCCCGGCAACGTCCTGTCTCTGGAGATGTCCCACAGTGAGGCCATTTGCCCAAGGTACTTACTTCTGTGGCTACATTCTGATTAGCTCCATTTTCCAGTAAAAACTTAACCACTTCCAAGTGATTCTCTTGTGCTGCCATGTACAAGGGTGTAAAGCCTTTCTGTAAACCAAGAGAAAACGTCATTAAAATTTACCCACAAAATTAGGGAGACATGCTAAAACTGGGGCAAAATCCTCATAACTGGAGGACAACTCTCTCTTCGTTGTATTTTCAGCTAGCCCACAGGGCCATGTCCCCACCAGTATCTCCTGTTGTAAAAACTCACGGACACTTTGAAACGACTTAGTTGGGGGGAAGGGGGACATTGAGCCTGGGTGGCTCACTTAGTCAAGCAACCGACCTCGGCTCAGGTCATGATATCACGGTTCTTGATTCAAGCCCCACATCAGGCTCTGTGCTGACAGCTTGGAGCCTGGAGCCTGCTTCAGATTCTGTGTCTCCCTCTCTCTCTGCCCACACCCTGCTCATGTTCTGTCTGTCTGTCTGTCTCTCTCTCTCTCTCTCTCTCAAAAATAAATAAACATTTATGGGGTGCCTGGGTGGCTCAGTAGGCTAAGTGTCCGACTTCCGCTTAGGTCATGATCTCGAGGTTCATGAGTTCAAGCCCTGCGTCAGGCTCTGTGCTGACAGCTCAGAGCCTGGAGCCTGCTTCCCATCCTGTGTCTTCCTCTCTCTCTGCCCCTTCCCACTCATGCTCTGTCTGTCTCTGTCTCTCAAAAATAAAAAATAAAAATGTTTTTAAAATAAACAAACATTTAAAAAATTAAAAAAAAAATAAAAAGAAATGGCTTAGCGGGATTTATTACAAAAGGGCACCAAACTGGGGGTTGACATTCTGTGGAAGTCAGCCTCTTACAAACACACTCCCCCTCTATTTTCACTCCCTTCTTTGTGAACCCCCTATGTCCCATGTCCTACCCACCCCTAAACACAGTCTCTCTCCCCAAAGGAGCCATAGCTAGATATATTATTTGGCTGGTTTCACTGAACAGAGATGGGGTCCACAATGATCAACCACATCGTGCTTAGAATGCATAACAGAAGCATGAACAAATAGTAAGGGATGCCTTTGTTATTGCTTAGAGACACATTGCCGATTAAGCTATTCAGTGCACCCACTACATAATAGAAATACAGGTGGAAAAGAAGGGCAATGCCCTCTGGCCCAGGACCCGGGAGAGAGCCGTCACCTGCGACTGGGCGTTGACATTGGCGCCATAGTTGACCAGCTCCCGGACCACCTCATCCTGACCTGCGAGGGCGGCGATGTGCAGAGCTGTGTTCCCTTTCTGAAACACACGGGGAGAGGAAGCAGAGATTTCCCACCAGGCTGCCAACAATATTGTGACCATCAAAGGTAAAGTCGCTGTTAAAGGTATACTAACAAGGGTGCTGGTTGGGGTGCGGGACAGTGGGCTTTCTTTAGACCCAAAATGGGTAAACAACACACATGAGTGTGCCTGACCCATTATATACCTTGAAATGGTACTGAAAGCCCAAGGAGGAAAACTCTTGCTCTCCAAAAACAAAAACAAAAAAAACCACCTCACGCTAATGGATAAAAAAACCACTTCTCAACACCTAATCTGCTGCATGCAGACGTAGCATTCTGTCATCAGCTGACAGACCCGTCAGCATTCCTCAGGACACACACTGACAGATTTGCCAGGCGAGCCGGCCTCCTCAGACTTCCAGCTCCTCACATCCAGCTGTAACTCTGCAGGATGACACAGAGCCCCCTGCCGTGAGGCCTGGAGCTCTGGGGAAGGAGGCCAGCAGGACCTGTGGACTCAGCACCCTTAACCTGGGGACGGAGGGAGGAGAGGCAAAGAGATTTAAAGGGTAGCAATATGTAAAGGGGGGGTAATAAAATGAACTATATAATGCATCTAGGGAAGGGAAGAAGAATATGGAATTAAAAGGGGGAAAATAAATAGGAATGAATTCTTACTACAAAAAAACACAAAAAACAAAAAAAGACTATTTGACATATTAATCAGTAAAATACATATAATGAGCCAGGGCTTCTCCAGATTAGAGAGGAGACAAAAGCGAGAGACAATAGTACACAATTGTTTTAAAGTCAACTTTTTTGGGCACCTGGATGGCTCAGTCGGTTAAGCATCCGACTTTGGCCCAAGTCATGATCTTAGGGTTCGTGAGTTTGAGCCCCATGTCGGGCTCTGTGCTGACAGCTCAGAGCCTGGAGCCTGCTTCAGATTCTCTGTCCCCCTCTCTCTCTGCCCTGGCCCTGCTCATGTTCTGTCTCTCTCTCTCTCAATAAAAATAAACATTAAAAAAATTGTAAAGTAAACTTTTTCAAAGCTAAAACCCTTAATAGGGACTAAGAAACTAGGCAGGTTGTGAGGAGGTGACTGGAATACTGAGGTTTCTTTGTCCAGATTCATTCCAGGTATTTAACAATTGCTAGATGGGGTTCAGGTCTAGCAGGCTTCTTCTGTTCAGGATGCCGGCCTTCTTGCCAGGCTCCTTCCTGCCTCCCGGATATCCTGGGGCTGGAACACAGGCACATTCTCTGACTTACCTACGTGACCCCACTGGCCCCCCAGCTCAGTGAGTGGCAGGCAGGACAGGCCCCACCTGCCAGCTTCAGTCAAATAGGGCAGGTCGGAGAAAACAGGACCCATGTGGGCCCATCTGTCCCCCCTGCTACTTAAGGAGCAGAGACCTCAAATGAACTCAGTATTTTTGCAGTTCATATGGTATATAATTTACCTAAACTACAGAAACACTTGCTAATCCATCTCAGACAACTCAAGCCCCAACAAGTCAGGACTTCAAACTCCATCTATGCACCAGGGCCATCTGTCACTGGGAGAAAAGTGTCCTCACCCAGGCGGAACTGAGCAGCACGGGCACCGAGCTCTGGGCCCCCCAGCCACCACTGTCCCAAGTACCCACAGGTGGGTGAGGAAGCCCCACTGAAAGCTCCTGGGGGCTTCAGGGGGCTCAGGTCTCTGTTTCCAAAATGTGACCCGTATCAGGCAGGAGTAACCTGCTTCTTGCCTCCCAAGTTGTCTTTTTGATTTCTCCTGAAGTCCCATTTGATAAACAAAAGGGTTCTTCCTCCAATATCCATCAGAGAATAAGTGCCAGAAATGAATGTATAGAGGCTAATTAATCATTTTTCATAGAAGTCCAAAGAGCTTACATTTAGAGGCCTTGGCACCTGGGTCCAACTCACTCACTGTACTAAGTGGAACATGGCTGTTGGCAACAGAACCTTCTCTAGAAATCAGGACTCAGAACTCCAAGTCTCCCTATTTAGAAGCAAGTGTGCTGTGCCCATTCATGCGTTTGTTTGTTACACACTGAGCACATGTGTGTCAGGCACCGGTCCCGGCACGGGAGTACAGAGATGATTGAGACTCGGGCTCCTTGACCTCAAGAAGCAACGTCAACTGTTTCTTTCCATCTGCCTCTTTCTGCTCGAAATCACACTCTATCAGAGCTCTCCCCCATAGAAATGCATCGGGGGGCAGCTGGACCCGTACCCTAGCTGTGGATCCTGGCCCATGCCACCTTCTGCACCTGGGCTGAGGGCAGCACTGGTGAGGGGTAAGAGCAAAGGGGAGACCCTCGTAGCCAGACCGCTCCCCCCAAAACACACACCTACACACACGTGCACACGCTGCAAACTTCAAGGCCTCTGGCCTTGGGTCAGGGGCACAGGGCAAGGAGCTGGGGCCTCTATTTTTTCTACCCCTCCCTCTGCATGAAAGAACATGGCCTGGAAGAAGCAAGAAAAATTTCTTAGCTACATCTGATCCACAAAGACCCACCTTCTCCAATTTGCAGGGAGTCCTAGAGCTCCTGGAAGCAGGGGGAGGGGGCTTCATTGAAGCAGGAGCCCGGTAGATGCAAGCAGAGAGATTAGGGCTTTCTCCCTCACTACCTGCGTTGATGCTGATCACAGGCCTCTAAGAGGCAGAGAAGGGAGGATGGGGACAGATGCTTTTGTTTTGTGCTTTAAAAACATTTAAGCACATTTAGGAAACTCTACTGGTTTTGGCTTTTTACTCTTTTCTTTTTTTAATCTTTCTCATGCTCGCAAGACCCATTATAATTCCCCAATCTGCTATGACTGTTGCTCAGCCCACGGTTTCTGCTTCACCTTTTTTCCTCCCTCTGTACAGCATTCAGGAACCACGCTGGCTTATAAAACGTCTATAAATAACAAAGACACACCAAGCATTCGCTTGCAAAATAACAATCAAAGGGGGAAATGCGGAGAGCGCAAAAATGCTGAAGCGTCATGTTTGCACAGCTCTTGAGGACGCGCCAGGGGAAGAAAAGCCACCCCAGCCCACACGGAGCCTGTCAGATGGCGCACTGCTTGCAGCCAGGTATGTGAGAGCACAAGAAGGAAAAATAATTGCATCCCTTCATCCACAAAGAAGGGTGGAAACCACTGGTACTCGTCATGGGGTTAGGGAAAAAAAATGCCCCACATACATTCAGAAAGAGCAACTCAGTCTATTTTACCAGCAAGATCTTTTCACCTTCGGGAAGTGACATGAAAATTACAGAATTTTACCTCAAGGGATGATTGTCCCTTCATAATATTTTGGTAATGCACTTCACAACTACATATTATATCTCTACTTATTGTTCTTCTGGTTCTCCGCTGGAGAGGAGGCCCAATGTTTGCAGCACAGAACTGAAATCGAGGCTGGGTATAAGACCATGCTGAATAAACAGCAAACGAAAAGAAAGAGGCTGGAGAGACAGAGCCAAGAGGAAAACCATGGGAAGTAACCAGGAAGGAAGAGAAGAGAACGCTGTGCTCAAGTTAGTAGAGAGAGGTGAGTTTTTTGGTTTAGTTTTGTTTTGAAATGCTGGCAACACCTTGTTCAATAAATAAACAAGGCGGATGTATATGAGAATTAAAATTGATTTTACAACCTACAGATGCATAATTTCATGACTGTGGTTTCTGGACTTAAGTCACTGGCACTTCTAATCTATGGCTATGGGAAGAGCATGCTGGCGTGGGAGGTGTGACGTCAGCCTTGGCCAAATGCCTCCTTGGAGAAGAGAAGGCTGTTTGAGGTAATTGCTAAGGAGAGGAGGTAAGTGTGCGGCTGACCAAGGAAGACTCACTGGGGAAGGATAAATGAGAGGGGTCTGGCTCTCTTCTCTACGCCTCAATAGCAACACGGTCACCGACATTTACCGATTCCTTCCTTGGCGCCAGGCATTTGACACACACGATCTCAGTTCGTTTTCATACGAATCCTGAAACCAAGTATTACAGTCCCCATTTTATAGATGAGGAAATGGAGAGTTCTCACCAACTAACTTGTTCAGATACGGAGTGCATTGCCTCCGCTGGGAGCCGGACCCAAGGCACCTGACTGTAGAACTGCTAGAGCTCTCAGACCCTGCACTCAAGTCAAGGACCCTAAGAAAACATAAAGCCATAGCGAAAAGGGTTCTCTTTCTAGATTTATAACCTAATGATGAGAATAAAGTAAAAGCCCACTGACTTTTGTGGAAACAGGGTCCTCTGCCTTTCAGGTGACTTTGGGGACTCAGAGAACTAGGAAGTGATTGGAAACACAAGAGAAATTCAGAAACACACTTGGCTTTCTCTCACGAAGGGCTGGTTTCCATGTCAGGGTCTGGAATGATACACGAGGGACCTGAACATTTGAATTATCAATGAAAAGCTCCCCGTTCCCTAAGAGACGTACCTTGGTTGTCGTTTCTAGAATGATTTCTTTGTGCAGAAGTTCAACCACCATCTTCACATGGCCTTCTTTAGAGGCCAGGTGCAAGCCGTTCAGCCCATTCTGTAAAGAGCAGAGAGGCAGAAAGAGTGTGATTAGGAGACTATGCATTCTGTTCCAGACACCCCTTCCCTGTGACGAGATGTGTGAAGAGCCAGAAGGGAAGAAAAGGGGCGGCCCTGAGCGGGGCCGGCCCAGCCTCTCCGGGCACTTTTCTATAGAAGCATCAGATGACAGAACAACAGGGCAAGAGCGAGACCACCACTCCCCAGATTCATATCCATATTAAGTGTGGAGACACTCTCACAGAGCCAGTGGGTGACCTTACTTGAAGTTTAGATCTTGGCCAGGCTTTAGGCAATCACTTCCTTGAAGTGATATAGCTTCAACCCCCAATGCAGCTCATTTTCATGGCAGCAATCAGTAAAGGCAAAGAGGCAACACCAGTACATCCTAGACATTTGTAAGGATAGACACATATTTGGTAGAATAACAAACTCTGAAATGAGGTCTTCTGAGAACTAAATACTGCCAGTCACCCAGCTAGAAGATTTCGACATCAGAATCAGTAGTAAAATAGCCCCATGGCCACCTTGCCATTTCAAATGTGGCCAAAGCTGGTCTGACAGTTCAATTGTAGGGGAAAAACAAAATAAAAGAACCAACACTGTCCATGCCCAATCATCCGTCCACGGAAGCAGATCTCTCACCAACCACAGAAAGTTTACGCTGTACCTGGTGAGGTTTGAGAGAAAGCTGCCTAGCTCAGGTTTTACTTTGCATTCTTGCACGTCCTGTCTTCCGATCCTTGCACTTGGATGCCTGAGTACTTTTTGGCAAAAGCTGACTTCAAAGAGCGCTACTTAGAACCACAAATAATTCTGACAATATGATGGAACTCATTTCACTTCTGGTGATGAGCAGATCTCGGCTCCATATGGAAAATGATGTTAGTCAATCAGCACTCCCCATGCCCTACTTTTGTGTTCTCTTTCTCTCTTCCTCCTTGCCCACCCGCAACCCCTCCCTCTTGTCCCATTCCTTCCTGTCTCCTATTTCAGTCAACTCTGTTCTAGCATGTTCCCTTTCAGGGGATGCCCCAGAGCCACTGCAGACTTTAGCTAATAAAAAAAGACCTTTGCCACCATGATGGAGGCACTTGGCCCCTGAAGGTGTGACTTCTCCCCAAACACCTCTACAGCTCCACCATGGGTCTCCAAAACCCCCACTCTCCCTGTGTGTCAGGGCATCCAGGACCAGCGAATGTTCACGGAAAAGACACAGCTGCTCACGTTAGCACCAGAGTCCCCGCAGTCAGCATCAGGAGATTCCTATTAAAAATACAAATATCCCATCTGGGAGTGGTAGCACATTAATCCTTAACAGGTGAGTTCTGTTGGCGTTGCTCAAACTAGCAGAGGCAGTAGGCGGAAATACTGGAATAATGAGACATAAGACAGGTATCTCATGATGGGAGAATGGAAGGTATCTAAAACTCTACATCAGAGCCTTGAACAGGGAAAATACAAGAGGTACCCGAGGCCTCAGAAAAAAAAGAGAAAGTGGGCTCCAAAGGGAACTTTGCCTAATCTCCATTCAATCAGACCCTCCCCGCACCCCAGACATGCAGAGCAAAGTAGGCCAAATCTTTGCACGTTAGCACTGCCAGCCTTGGCAAGCTGTGTGTGTGGGTGGGGGGTGATGGGAGGGCCCTTTCACGAAACATTTCCCCATGCAAATGCCTAGAAATCACCGTTGGATGCTTTCCTCTTGCAGATTTTGTACACCATTAAATGCAGAGTCCAGAGTGGTGTTAATTATTCACACCCTGGTGTGAATGGGCTTATCAGATAAAGACTGGGTCCCAGTCAGTTTTGATAACAGAAAGGGAGACAGCAATCTGTTAGAACAGGAACCTGGGGGAGGGAGAAGAACACTGGGTGGCAGTAAACCAGTTCCCCTCAAATCAATGTACAAAACACAAATTCACTAAAAAGCAATTCGTCCAGTGACTGGGGCTCTGGAAGCCTGGAGCCACGCCCTTCAGCTCCTTGTCCTCAGCTCTGCCCTGGGGCAGGTCTGCACCCTCCTCCCTCCCGGAGCACTGGGGTCTGCAATCCCCTCCCAAAAACCCAGCAGTGTCTGGAAGGTTCCCCGAGTGATCACTCGGGAACTGTGATGGTGTTTGCGGCTGTGGGAATCTCAGCAGCTGTTGCAGTCAGCTTTCCGCAGGGGACTCAGCTGTGACAGCAGCCAGGGTAGCACGGTGCTGATCGCTGTGGTTTTAGTGCTGACTTGGGCAGCAAAGTACCTTTCCGTGAGCATTCGTTGATCCTGAACACCTCAAAGCTGGGAAGTTGGCAAGTCTACAAGGAAAACACGTAAGTTTACTGCTAATGCTCTGGGGTGGCTGTCCCTGCCCTTTGGACCCAGTGTCAGGATCGCAATCCAGAGAGATTCTAGAAGTACTGTCTGCCCGGGAAATGCTGGAGTGGAAAAGGATGTCAGAGATCCCCGAATGCTGAGGAAATCAAGGTCCAGAGTAGTCAAATGACTAGCTAGAGTCACACAACCTTTCTAGGGCACAGCCACATATAGAACAAATCTGGATTCCTCCCTTGCCCCCGCCACCAAAAAAGGATTTGGGTTTTGTTTTGTTCTTTTTGCCCCTAGGAACTAGTATGTTTCTTTTTATCAGATGATAAAGTACATTTCTCCTTTTTTTAAAAAAAAAATGTTTATTTATTTTGAGAGAGAGAGAAAGAGCATGAGCAGGGGAGGGGCAGAGAGAGAGAGAGAGAGAAAGAATCCCAAGCAGGCTCCACACTGTCAGCACAGAACCCAGTGTGGGGCTCAATCCCATGAACCATGAGATCATAACCTGAGCCAAAATCAAGAGCAGGACACTTAACAGCTGTCCCCATTTCCCCCTTTTTTTTGATTACCGGGCAGCTTAGAGCTAATAGTCACAATCACCCATAAGGGTCTGATCATGGCCACTATATTTTGATATCCAGGATTTTATTCATTGCCCTGGTCCATACAAAGTCCCTCTGCTTCCCTCCCTGCATCATAGCCACCCCCCCCCCCCCCCCCCCCCCGCCGCCTCCAAAAGCTACACTCTTGGCAGAAGGTGACCAGATAAAAGGGATCATCTGAATAGATTTGTATCTTGAATTGGTTTACTTAGATTCTACCCCAGATCCTGGTTCAATGTTCTCTTTCTTCTTTATGGCTTTGTAGCTTTCTGACTCTATTTTTACTTTGTTTGTTTGCTTTCAACATAATCACCCTAAGTTATGTCCAAGTCTATTATTGTGGTGATCTGAACTCAAAGCCCTCATCAGAGCCACAGAACCTAGCCCCACTTGGCCTAGCTGTCATGTGCAAAGTGCCTACGGCATGCACATATGATGTGCAAGAAGGCCCAGCATTGATCGCAGAACAAGATCACATATGGAACATGGCTGGACCAAACATTTGTCTCAAGTACACATAAGAGTCACGGCAGTTACCTAATGCAAGCATTGACTTAATCCAATTGGGAAAAATTTACTGGGAACCTATTCTGCACCTGGCACCACACTAGAGATGAATAAGACACAGACACTTATCCTTGAAGATCTCAATTTACTAGAGGAAATAGATGCCTAAAAAATAAATGCAAAATAATGTGAAAATGCCCCAAACGGCAGGCATGAGATTAGAAGTAGCACAGAGGAGAAAGGAGTTGCTCTGCCAAGAGGGTCATGAGGCCTTCCCAAAGGCCTTTGCAAGGCAGCCTGTGCACAGGCAGGGTGACAAGTTCATCGACAATGGCAAGATGAGACGCTGTCTCTGAATTTACATTTTAAACACAGGAGCTAACATTTTAGAGACTATGCTCCCAGCCCTTCTCATCAAGCGCCTTCCTCCATCTTCCAGGAAGCACTGAATTCAAGAGATGCACAAACACCCAGACCCACAGAGGCAAGCTTTCTCCAGCAACTGGCCTTAGCAGGTGGATAGCTGGTCACCATCTAGCAGCTGAAGTCACTGAATGCCTGAAAACTAAATTATGGCACATAAACACTAAGGAATTGTATAACTGTCTTATTAAATACATTACTAGCCAATATAGATCAATTCCAGTATTTCAAAAGAGTGTTTCCTGGATAAATACTATATTTAACACTTTTTTTTATTAGCTTTATTTATTTTGATAGAGAGCTCATGCAAGTGGGGAGGGCGGAGAGAGAGGGAAAGAGAGAATCCCAAGCAGACTCTGTGCTGTCAGTACACACCCTGACTCAGGTTTGAACCCACAACCTGTGAGATCATGACCTGAGCCTAATCAAGAGTCGGATGCTTAGCTGACTGAGTCACCAGGCGCCTCAACACACTCTTTGTCTTTAAAGAGATTTATTTTTATTGCTCAAATGCAAAAGGGGTAGGGGTACAAATTATGTGAGCTATTTGTTCGTAGCTATAACTATGGACAGAGATGAGCCATAATCTACCAGCTCTTCAAAACCAGGATCCATGTGTTTTATTTTAGTTACATCAAGTGTAAGTTGTTTCCTAAAAGGAAAAGGCAGGCTGCTATATCTTGCCTTGCATCTTTTCACTACTTTAGCTACGCCCCTCCTCTTGACGCAGAATGGCAGACAGACTGCTGAGGGGGATGATGGAGAAAAACGTGTATCTCATACTCCAAGTAACTGGGTGTAGAAGATAAGCAAGAAGGGGGTAGAAGAGTATGAGAATAAATGCCTCAATTAAATTAGAAGCTGGATTGCAAAAGCAATAACTTCTTGTGGCCATTTAAAAAAATTTTTTTTAATGTTTATTTATTTTTGACACAGAGAGAGAGACAGAGCATGAGTGGAGGAGGGGCAGAGAGAGAGGGAGACACAGAATCCAAAGCAGGCTCCAGGCTCTGAGCTGTCAGCACAGAGCCCAACAGGGGGCTTGAACTCACAAACTGTGAGATCATGACTTGCGCCAAAGTCAGATGCTCAACCGACTGAGCCACCCAGGTGCCCCATCTTGTGGCCATTTTTGAACCACATGCCTTCCTTGGG